TAACATCGACCGAACTGTTCAGAGGTGCCGTAAACAAAATCAAAATAGCCTTGTTAATAGCCAACGTCCGAAACGGATAGGGCAAAGGAAGAAGAAGAAGATTATTTTACCTCACATTACTTTTTAATTGAGACCACAACAATTCTATTGGATTCAGTACACAATATTAAGGAGTTAATCTATATACTTTATGGCCATAATTCTCAGCTAGCCTGTCGATATCATAATGAAGGGTACAGGGGGAAAACCAACATAGTCAAAAAATGAAAAAAATCTGGTTTACATTTCCACACTTTCTGTTTGCAGTGTATTTTGTCTTGACAAATCGTCAAGGGGAACAACAAACGTAGTCCCAAGATATTCAAGGTTTTAAATATCTATTGCAGGGGAAAAACCAACATAGTCAACATGAAACATGGGAATAACCAACACAGTCCATAAAATTCGTTATTACACGCAGGTCATCGCAGCTGTGTTTATTAGTTATTGTTTCGACACGTTTATTCAAGCTTGTTCGTTTATTTATTTAAGTTTGTTCCTTGAGTTGTTAAGAAGTATTCAGTATTTTTCAGGTCTAATAGTCTTTTGTGAATGTTTTAGTGTTTAAAATGTCTGATAGTGACGAAAATACATGTGTTAATCAAGAAAAATCAACGAAAAAGCGTAAAACACATGGCCGTCTTAGAGATGTTGCTAAGAAGCTACGAGCCTCGATCTTTGAAAACGCTGAAGACTGTCACTGCAAGCGGTATAAGTGCTTTCAGAATATTTCTCTTGCTAAACAAAGTGATTTAATAAGAAAGTTTAATAACGTTGGCCGTGACAATGGTAATTATGCGCAAAATAATTATTTATCTGGACTTATCTCATTACGACCTGTGTTTCAACGAAGGCCAAGGAAAAACGAAGAAGATGCTAGATTGAATGAAAGCTACTACAGCTACAAACTAAGAGTTATTAGAAATGACAGTGCAGTAGAGGTACCAGTATTTTAAAGCGTTTCAATCACTATTTGGAATTAAAGCCTTACGATTACATACAATAAGAACAACTGACAAAGCGCCGATCGATAGAAGGGGAAAGCATACCAATAGACCTCATAAGGTTGATCAACAAACTCGTGAATTGTTATTGCAGTTTTTTGGCTCATTAAAGGGACGTAAAGCGCACTACAATTTGAAGGAATCTAACCTCCCGGAAGATATGAATGATAAATAGCTTCTTGAATTATTTTTGACTAAACATCCCCATATTGAGATGTGAGATACTGAAACATTCAGGCAAATATTTGTGTCAGAGTTTAACATCTCCTTCGGTTACCCACGAACTGAAACGTGCTGTTGGTGTGACGAGTAGAAAGCCAAAATGATTGAGCTTGATAGGAAAATTGCCATTTCAAAAAGTGATAACGAAAAAGTAAAGGTAGAGAACGATATGAAGAAGCTATAATTTGAAAAGAGACTCCATTTGAAGGAGGCTGATTGGTTTTATAAAGATTTGACACTGTAACAATTACTTACCCAGTGCGCGGCCATTCCTTCTTCATGGAACCAGACAAAAACATGGGATTGGTCCCCAAAAGTGCAAATGCTGAAACCCCAGATAGCTGGAGAGAGGTTATAGAAGCCGCGCGAATCAAGCCACATCCGTTTGTTATTGTATCATGTGAACAAATTATGTTTAAAGAGTGGGGTACATTTTTGTCCTCCAAGTTCTACAAAAAGAAATTTTCTTTTCCTATTCGGCAACTAAAACAGTTAATGTTTTTAAAAGAACCAGAAGGGGAAATCAAAGGTACCTGATCTTCAAGAACCCAATCATCTCTACCAAACGCTTATACCTTTGCCCAAAGAAAAGTGTGCTGATCTAAAAGTTCTAATGAAATTCTCTGAAGAAGAGGGATCTAAAGAGTACTACAGCCAACTTATTTCTGCCAATCAGCCTGAGTTACTATCTGAGCCGGATAATGTTCCCGACGATCAAAGCGATTTTTAAAAATCAGATTAACTTTAGTCAGTAGTTTGTAGCTTGGTTTGTTCTTTTAATGTGATGTAGAAATGCCTTACAAAATAAAAAAATAAAAATTAATTTTTTTGATCTGTTCAGGGGAAGAACCAACTCAGTCCACATTTTGTTTAATTAAAAAATTTCTAACTACGAAATAAAAATTCAATCATAACATTATTCCAGGACATTCCACACGGCATTGATGCCGTGCCGTTTGGCGATCGATGCGTATGCACGCTCACATTGTTTCTTTCCGTCACCAGTAATTTGTTCGAACTTTTCTCGGTAATGCTTTGTATGCACACTACATGACATTTTTTCGATGACTTTGGTTAATCCACAAAAGTTTGTTGGGTATGGTACACAAAATCCTAATGAAAAACACACAACTACTGAGCGACGTATCTTGAGCAGTGCTGTCATTTGGTACCGTTGGTCTTAAAAGGACGGCAACGATTACAACAGCCGTCCATGCAGTTGTATAGTTGTAATGATCGAATGCCACACGGCATCGATTCGTTGCCGTTTGGCGATCGATTCTTATGCACGCTCACATTGTTTTTTCGCGCTACCAAAGGAATTTGTTCGATTGAACTTTTATCGACCGTCCAAATTCGATGTGTATGCGCCCAGCGTTACTGTTGGCAGGATATTTATTTAACTGTGCAACTTGACAGCGATTGTGCAATTCCTAAAATTTGTTTCCAGAAATTTTTAATAGAAAATTTGCTAATGACACTTATGCAAAATTCATTTCAAAATTTCTAACGATCTACCAAAAAATAATCGCTTAGAAGTCGCTCTAAACAACATCCAAATAGTTGTTATTGAAAATATGTTTAAAAACATCATTATTGTGTGGGTTGAGTCATTATGATCCCGAAATAAAGCAATAGTGTTAACAATGGTAGATATCAGAGCCTTAATTTTGATTGTTTTTCTGATTATAAATATGTCTTGCACCATGAATGCGTTCCAAGAAGTCAGACAATCAACGAAGAATTTTATATTAAGTTCTAAAAAGATTCCGTGAGACAGTGAGAAGAAAACGGCCCCATTTTATGCATGCTCAGACTGGTTTCTTCATAACGATAATGCGCCAGCTTATTCTGTAATAGTTTTTGGTAAAACACAAGGTTATACCATTTATACACAACTCCGCCATTTTACGTACAGTGTAAAATTAGCACGTTGTTACTTTTTCGGGTTTCCAAAATTGAAAATTTACGACATAGAGAAGATTCAAATAAATGCTCGATGCTAATGAAGATCATTAAGAGATTTTCATTACTTGCCGAAATATATTAATTAATAACAATATTATTATAGTGTATAATCAATAAAACAGATCAAATAGTATGTGAAGGGTAACAATGACAAATTCGTGTACCGAAATGCGTAGTACCTATTTAATACAAATAAAATATTATAGGTTTGAAACCCACGATTGTTTAGAAAAAAATTTTTGTCAGAAATAGAAATAGAAAAATTTTGAGAATTTAGAAATATGCATTGTCTTTAAATGATTTTTAGTGCGTATTAGTCTTATATACTCCATAACGACATTGTTTCTTTGTTTATGTTCATACATAATAATCGATTAAAAATTGATTTGCTAATTGAAACACTTTATTCTTTAATTTCGTATTTTTTTATAACTATACTTTGTTTAGTATTTTTTTTATATCAATTATGTGTTCTCAAGTACTTTATTATACAGAGAAATTAATAAAATGAATGTCTATAATATTCCTATGATGTCATTTTATTGTACAATGACCAGAAAAAAAGTTAGAAAGACCAAAAAAATCTTTGTTCAAAAATGTTTATTTATTTTTATTTTGCGATTAAAAGTGATAAAAATAAAGTTATAGACAATTTAATTTGCTACAAATAATGGCTAATGAAATTTCTGTAGGGTTGCTAGTTTACGAGATACAGCGCGAAAACCTTTTGCACCCATTTTTACAAGATGGCGACCTCACAAACTTAAACTGGCTAACTTAAGCTTATGCTTACCCCCTTAACACATCAAAAAAAATAAAATTGCGTTATCTCAAAAATGCAACCCTAATGTAATTGTTCCATGGACTAATAACCTTTTGACAGTGATGTTTGTTAACAAATGACGTCATACAATTTGACTAGTGTTCGTTATCACGTGACTTATGGTATAAGATCCCACTGCAGGATCACTACGTTTATAACGTAGTTAATCAAGCTCACATTTTTATATACATTTAACATTGGGAGAATATATTGATAATAGGTTGCCACTCCCAAAGTGGCCGCAAATATTTTAAATCCAATTAATAGTAATTAATTCTTAAGCAAAAATTTTGTTTCGTTCATTTATTTTTTAACTAAAATACGCTGCTAGTGACATATATGCAGTGTTTTTTCATCAAATTAAAGCTAATTTTTTCTTAATATCGTGATATAAGGTTAGCTGATAAAAATGGTCTCAAATTAGGGTTGCCAGCTGTTAAAAACGCGAGGTATAAAAGATAAAATAAAAGACAGCTAGCGAGCAACGCTACTGGTTTGACGTGTTAGTTGTATTTTGCTTAACTACGTTATGAACGTATTGATCTTGCAGTGGGATCTTGTACTATTAAGAGTGATCTAAAATTACATTTTAAATATTAAATAAAACTAAAAAATATAGCGTTTTTAGTTTTTCATTGTCGATGGCTTTGCTTAAAAATGATATTTTTAGTTTAACTTAGTCAATATCCCTGTTACCGTAACCGTAACAAAATTGCACTTCAGAACTTTACAGTTGGACTTTAAAGGACTTCGCAATGCTGCTAAGAACAGAATTATTTAATCCTGACTATTTAACAACTCACCTGACAAGACAATGTACGGTGGACGCCTACGCAGAAATGCACGGCACCTTAAGAAGAAGAAGAAAGTGGTGAATAGGAGCATTCACAGTAATTTGCATCAAACAGTCACATTTACTCGCATCACGAAATGATTCATTGTTATTGTCATTTATATTAATATATTCAAACTCATATAAATAATAACTTATTAACATATAATCAATAACTTAAAACATATAATCACATTTAATACTAGTATTATGTCGAACTGTGCACTTCAACAAAAGTAACACTTTTCCTCGGGGGAATACTACCATTCTCTACACTATTTCCCTTGTCATGTTTAACATTCGCGTTTAATTTCTTCGGATTCTTTACGAATTCGACCTTGATTTCATCAAACGTTTGCTCTTTTTCTACCAGGTTACATTTTGCTTCTAATTCGTAAATTTTTTCATTATATTCGTACACATCAACTGCAAATGCTGCACACTCTTCCTGGAGAAGTTTGGTCAAGTAATAAGCTTGTTTTATGTAGAATAAAGTAGTTTTCTTTGACGAAATTGTGAGACTTTTCTCGGCGATTTCGATGAATGTATCAATGAAGAATTTTAAGAGAGCACGTTTCTTGTGGAGATTGAATTGTTTCTCACATACCCACTGAAAAAAAAAACAAAATAAATTTAAACTTGTTAAACAAAGAATAAAACATATTAATTATTCTCAAGGATGTGTATCATCCCTTGCCAAATTGAAAACAAAAGTTAGCAGGTTGGTTTAATAGAAATATGAAAAGTGAGTTAGCACAATTAGTAAAAAACCTATATAATGTCACAACAAACGTGATGTTTATCAGCTTACAAATTATAATAACTTAACAATATATCGCCGAGACAGAAGACGAGCTCCAAAAATTAACACACATCTTTAATACAACAGCTTAGAAATACAATGTGATAATATCAGCAGAAAAAACCAAATGTATGACAACATCTAAATACCCACTACGGTGTAAAATCGAATGAATTGATGGGAAAATAATAAAGCATGAAGCAAGATACATATCTGGGATTAGATATAATTAGTTACGGAGATGTTGAAGAAGTACGACAACAAAGCTTAAAAGCAAGTAAAGGGGCAGGATCTCTTAATGACACAATCTGGAAGAACGAACACCTAAGACAAGACACAAAAACAAGAATCTATAAAGCAGCAATTAGACCTATATTAACATACACGGTGGAGACAAGACCTGACACATCCAAAACGAGACGACTACTAGAAACAACAGAGATGAAAATACTCCGACGAATTTCAGGGAAAAGTCTGTTGGATACGGAGAGAAGCGAAAACATAAGAACATGCAATGTAGAAGACATAAATGGATTGGTGACAAAACGAAAACTAGAGTGGAACGAACGCATCAGTAGAATGGTAGAGGATAGAATAGTAGGAATAGCACGAGATAAGTCACCAAATGGACGAAGAAGTATTGGCAGACCAAGAAAAAGATGGTGCGACAATTTAAACAATTTAGGAGGCTAATATTAAAGAAGAAACAAAGCCTACATATAAGAAGGAAAAAGAAGAAGTAATTACATGATTACTATTCACTTTATCTAGTCCTGTGTTGAAATAAATGTTTGGAAAAAGTTGAAGTAGATGGTATAATTAAAATTGATATGATTTATTAGTAACCTGTAAAATTATACCAAAAAAGAAGTAAAAATAAAGTGAAAGATATATTAAAAGAACAAAGAGAGATGTTAAAATGATGGTCTGAAAAATTAGGTGATTCTATTGAGGATGAAATATTGGATTAAGCATAGAAAGAAACAGGAAAAAACTCACAATTAAGTATAAGCTTCTTTTTGTAAAATGGAGTACGTAGACTAACTTAGGCATATGGTTTTTGATTTAAAATTTTATTTATTGTGTGTTCGTTGTATCCATTGTTTACTGCAATTTGCTGTATCAATTTTAAATCATAATAAAGCCCTGAAATTAGTATTTCCACCAGCAGAGAAAAAGCTCAGTACCTTCTGTTCGATTACATATTATGACAGCAAGATATCAACAAAAATAGTCAAACACATAAAAAAGAAAAGAATAACACCAGCCATCAGAACAAAAGCACTGTGTGTATACAAACTTAAATGTGGCGACAGCCGAAAAACTTACATCTGTCAAACTGGTAGAACTTTTAACAAACGGATAGCAGAGCATAAAAGGGTTTTAATGTTAGAAAAACAGATTCTACGTACAGACTTCACCTTCTAGACCATAATTTTTATTATTCTTTTAATGACCAATTTCAAATTCTTCACATTCGAAATCAAGGCCTTAAACTATGTTTATTAGAATCTATGGAAATTAACAAATTAAAAAATGCAGACATAATTCTGAATGACCACCTTGACACAAACAGTTTTCCCCTTATCAACTTATTCAGTTAAAGACTATAAAGTTTAAATGAATGCCAAAAATAGATCACTTGAGAAAAGCACTCTGTCGCAACAGCTATACTGATAATAAATTATAAGAAATTTTGTGGAAGTTTAAAAAAAGGTTTTCAGTATTTTATTGGTAAATAAAATGAATTTCCATCAAGTAACGATCGAATAACTCTGATAGCCAACGTCGGATAATTCTGATATGCACGTGAAGAAGAATCAGAACTTTAATTAATGATTTTAAAATGATACTACTGGTGAAATACCCCAGGAATGGCTGAAGTTTAATTCTACAGTACTTTCGAAGAAACAGCTGACAAAAAGGTTCGACGAATACAGATTAATTTATCTGATGAGTCACATATTGGATTTTTCCTTGCATAGTACATGGAAAAATAAGAAATCGATGTAAAATTGGTCTAGATGAAATCCAGATTTTAGGAATGTACTTGACACCTGTAAGGCACTTTTTACCTTATAATTCACCATTTTACCATTTTAAGAACCTCGTATCATAGAAAACTTGTATCGGAAACAGAAAGCAGTGGTTTAAATCGTTGGAAAACTTATTAAATTCAACGGGCCATCAGATAAGGATAGCTGCAAGTCCCGCTATTATTCAAATAATATACACTGATACCCTCGATACTTAACGGTAGAAGATGAAAGATTATCTACGAGTACGTATACTCTGATATAATTTTCAAACACGCTTGACAAGATAAAGACCTTGAGGTATACCATTTAATATACTGACAATACGGTCATATTGAGCAGTCATATTGAGCAGTAATATCCGGACCATTCAATAATTGTCGGACTTTGTAAACATAACAGGGTGGCAACTAAGTCTAAAATCTTATTTCACCAAGACAAAATTTATGATAATAAGGGAATTATCATTGTTGCATAGAATGATGCTACGAATATTAAAGAGTAAATGCTATTCGTAAATTATTTAAAGCTATTAAGGCAAGAAAGATATACCTAGGGTATGTTCTTATAGGCAATTAGAAGGAATCAAATGTGATAGCTAAATAATATTCGCGATTAGACAGAAATGTGCACTTCCAAAAAACTATTTGGATTTTTTGAAAAGGGCTAACATCTTGCGAATGTTAGAGAAATCTGATCCGATACGCAAAGAAGAATAATAATGACCTAGAAAAGAATAAAATGACTTCACAGCAAATAAAAATTAAAATAGATAAACACTGAATAGGTGTACTTACTTCCATGTTTATTGAATCTACAGATCCTTTTCTAGATTGATCATCTTTGCCATTCTTTTCCCTTTCTTGTCTTTCTTGTTCTTCTTGCCTCTCTCTTAAGATTTTCTGGCGCTTTTTGGCATCTCGTAAGTGACTTACCAACATATCTGCATCAGTGAAACGTGGTTTCTTGCGAAGTCTTGTTGCAAGCTGTGGATTGGAGAACTCCAACCCAGATTTATTTAGAAGTTCGTGCAGTTTTTTAAAATTTAAAGGAGGAAAGAAATTTTTACCGTCTGTATATCTAAGATTTCGTAAGGCTTTTATGAAGTACATCAAGGGAGATTGTAAAATTTCATCCAAGGCCATTAGAGCTCTTCTTATTTTTCTAATAGGTATTTCACTTAAAGTATTTTTATTAGTAACAAAAAAGTCTGGAATACATGGTTTAGCTTGTGAAAGATGCGTATAAAGACGTTTTATCACTTTTAACAATTTAATACCTAACCTATGTTCTGCCCAGTCACTATAATGGGACTCACATTCCAAAAAGATAAAGTTTCTTATATGATCGGCAGTTAGACCTAAATGCGCAGTTTGAGGTTCTATGAAAGTTTTGTGAAGTGTCAAAAGAATGATCAAGCTTTTCATCTGAGCATGGCTCATAAAACTTTCCAAATATCTTTGTGCTTGGGGAAAACACAGTTCCCATTCTATATCAGAGTCATTATATTCACCTCTTTTATATGAATAACCTTTAGGTAACAAGACACAATCTAAAGTTGTTATTTCTTCTATCATACTTGGTGTAGGAAATATACATACCTTTCTACTTTCAGAAGATCTTTCTGCTTTAGTTGCGAAATCTAAAGTTTGCTCTAGGGGCCATTTGGCCTGTATAGCAGGTATAATTTCATATGGTATTCTCTTTTCACTTTTAACGGTGTCGAACACAACTTTTTCTTGTATTATTTGAGTTTCTTGAATATCTTCTTCTTGTATATTCAAATATGAAGCCGCTTCACTTAACAATGTACCGTTTTGTGAGTACTTTCTAAAACTCTTCGAATTTATATAAGAAACTGTATCGTACAAATCATCCTCGGAAATTTTTTCACCTCTTAATTCATCCGCGTCCCATGAAATCTTTTTAACTTTCCTATATGATATACAAGTTTTTGGTAAACCATCACATTGTGTTGATTTTTTCTTCAAACCATTTAATATTTCCATGGGTGTTGGAGTTCGTAAGTCTGTAAAATTAGTATAAGCAGTATCAGAAGAGTCGTTAGAACTTCTGGAATTTGGTTCTGAGTTTTCATCTAAGGTGAGTACAGGTGAACCACTGGAGCTAGGCCGGTTAACTATTTCTTTAAGTCTTATGTATCCTGAAAAATAAACGTTAAAAATAAACAAAAATATATACAAAGAGTAAGGAGAAAAACAAACGATGTTCAATTTATAAGAATTTCAGTTAATCAACTTATTATGTTGACAATATCCAGTCCCAAACACGTGCTAAATTGTATGGGAATAACACCAACGGTGTCCAAATAACAAAACATTAGAAAATACCCATACTGGTTAAAAACAAACGTTGTCCACGAGGTTAAGGATAAACAACCGACGTAGTCGAAGTAGTTGCCTAGCAACGACGGTTAACCGGGCGTGAAAATCTTCCATGTTTGGTTCTTTTCGCGGCAGTATATGTTAAGATGAGTTCGAGTGAAGAGTATTTGTGTGACGATCTGTTAAAAAAAAACTAAGAAACGAAAAAAAATTGGTCGAACTGCAAATGTAATGAAAAATTTGAGGTGTTAGGCTCACGAGTTAGATGATTGTTAGTGTAGAAGATTGAAGTGTTTTGAAAACACTAGTGCTCAAGAGAGGCAAAACATACTTAACGCATTTAATCAACTAGGATCAATCATCCTCTTTGTGTTCAAAGATGATTAATCGACCCCTGTGAGGGGTCGGCTTCCCTAATTACATTTCTCCATAAATGTCTATCCCAAGTCATATCAATATCATTACCCTTTGCCAATATGTCCTGCCTAAGCGTCTCCTACTACTTCCAGAAACCTGCAGATCAGAAATTGTTTGTATTGCGTGACTAATGTCTACGTTGAACATGACCAAACCATTTTAATCTATGCTTTCTCATTTTGGCAACAATAATTGGTCCCACCCCTAGATACCCATTCTCCTAATATACTCATTCCTACTTTTATACTTTTTTGTCACTTCACTCATCCATCTAAGCAATTTTATTTCCGCCACATGCATTCGTTGTTCCTCTTCCTTTTTAACTGTCCAACATTCAGTTCCGCACATCATAGCTAGTCTTATCGCTGTTTTATAGAATTTTCCCTTCAGCTTCATTGGAATTTTTCTGTTACACAACACACCACTCGCTTCCTTCCACTTCATCCATCCAACCCTAATTATTCTGCATGCATCTCCATATATTCCTCCTTTCATACATAATATGAAAATAAAAATTTACATTTTCATCAAAATATTGATTGAATCCTTCATTTGCTATACTCCTCTTACAGGTCAAATGTTGTTTATATATAGCAAACAATGCACCATATACCTATATACCTAATTATGTTTCTCTTTCTGCTCTCTCTTACCTATAGCATTACATATGTAATGATTGTACATATTGACTCCCATATAAATTTGTAACGGAACGCGTGTATAGACGTATAACTTCTACCGGCAGTCCAAATGGTCTGCCACACCAGTTTTTTTTTTTGTATAGGCCAGGATCCCTACTGCAAGGATTGCCTTAAAAACCAATGTATTTTTGCCTGCATCCCGCCGCTAGGAGGCACTTACTTCATTCGGGATACCTTTAATCAACTTGAATCAATATAGACTCTCAAAACATTTCTTAATTGGCTTGATTGCTGTATTGCCAGTTGTAAAACGAAGGTCACGACAAATCGATGTAGAACAACATCATGATTCTAAAGTAAGTAGTTATATGTGACTTAATCTGGCACTATTCCCTCCCCAAATAACCTAACCAAACAAATTTGACAGCTGTCACTTCGTAACACGTTTTGGCTGCGTTGAATTTTGAGATTTTACTACACTTTTTTGCAAGATTTGCGATTTCTTTATTTTTAGAATTCAAGTGATTTTTGTAGGTAATATCGGAAGTTATGAATATGCCAGGAGAAAGTAAGTTCTTAATATTGAACCATTTTTTAAAACATTACCTTCGTAGAACTGCAATCAAAATTAATCCAGTTTTTTGTATAATTTTTAATATAAACGAATGCTTTTAGTTACTTTTTACTCATCGATACTGCATAGGAGTTATTTCATAATAAAGATTAGACCACAGAATAGTTGTGATGGAGTATTCTGTGATTAGACTACCTATTTACTTTCATAAACAGTTTACAAAGTTTCCACAAAATTAAATAAAGTTGAAAATACTATGTTGAATAAAATCATTATTAAAATAATATACTATGAAATATATTATATACTAATTGAATGAGAACATATTACAAAAATAGTAAAGATAATAATAAAATTCGGCGAAACTACCCTAAATGTAAATGGAATATAATACGTGATAACCTTCTTATAAAGTAAATGACAGAGATGATGACTAACTCAAGAATTAGAAACAAAAACACAAAAATTCTTTTAAAAATAAACAACTAAACAATGTAAATGAGACATATGTACCAAACAATTAAAACTATGACAAATTTCGTACTCTACATTCCATTTATCATTTTAATGAAGTTACGCCAATATTTTTTTGACCTTGTAAACCAATCACGCAAGTATAAATTTAATATAATATCCTTTTAATCATATAAGCTAATAGTAATTCTGAAGTACTAGATTCGATGAATATTTGTTATTAGAAAGTAAATATATCTTATCTCTTATATGAATTTATATAAAATTTCATATAATATAAAAATATATAGACAAAAGGTTTTCTGTTCACGTAGAATGTTTTTCAATCAGTTAGGTGCCATTTATCTTCGCTCAAAACACTACTAGTATTAGTGTGCGCTCATAACGAGGCACCGACCTTCGCTCGGACCATAGGATGGTATCATATTATCATCACCACCTAAAATAAATGCATTATTTTAAAAATGCCAGCGTTCACCGTCAAAGCGCAGCGCCCAACCTTGAGCCAGGTATCGGACCATAGACTTGGACCATAGTATTCTAGCTTAGTAGTTTTTCGACCCTCGGCCCTAGCACTCTACGATAGACACTACGAGGCGCCGACCACCGACCCTCGCTCCGACCATTGTATTGATCGCCAGGTAAAATAAATACATTATTTTAAATGCGAGCGTTCACTTCAATGTCAGTACTATGATCTAGGCGAGGATACGATGCGATGGTCTCCGTAATCTCCGTATCTAAGGCCGGCTACCTGTATTTTACTTTAGAGCAGTGTTTCTTAACCTGTGGTTAGGGTAGCATGTGTTCGGGGATCCTGGTCTTATCTTTGAACATTTGAATTAATAAATAAAAGTCTCGTAATCGTTGCTGCCACCAAGCGTGATCCGGACCTAGATGATCGAGTAAAGTGTGAGTAAAACAAGAGCGCGCGGCGAACCTTCCCCTGCCATACCGCCCACGCCCCTGCTACACCATCCCCGACTTACACTTAAGCTGATTTATTATTCCTATGTTAAGATTTAATTACGCGTATTCGCATTGTTTTAATCTGTGTTGCGTTACAGTGTAGATACCTTTATATATATATATATATATTACCTTTTTAATGTGACTATGACAATGAACGCTGGTCAGAGCCAAATGATTCCGCTTAGACGAAGCAAATGAAAAACCATCGACTTCAAAGGTTAATAAACGTCGTAAGTTTTGTAACGAATAGTTATTGAAATAGGACAGGAGTCGATGAAACCTGCCAAACTTCGCCGTCATTTAGTAACAAAACATCAAGACCAAGAAAATGCTGTATTGGTGTCGTACCAGTTATCCTTATTAATTGCAAAAAGTGGTAAGCCTCACAAGATTGCTAAAGAATTAATTCTACCGTGCGCTAACATTATGGTTTCCGCTATGTTGGGAGAAAAAGCTTCAAGAGAATTGAACGTTGTATCGTTATCCAACAGTACAATGAAGAATATATTTGTTGATATGTCAGGAAATGTTAAAGAGCAATTGATTTTGAATGTTAAAGCGATCAGGTCTTATGCTCATGCAACATGAATAATTCATGTTCATCATCAGGTCTCATGCAACGACGGCATAATTGAGAATTTTCTGTTCTGTAGGACTCTGCCTTCGCACACTACATGTGAAGAAATATTTATCATTGTTGATTGCATAGAGAAGCATTACCTACTAAAATATGCTTGATAAAAATAAAAACAGTGTTAGACGAGATAGTGCAAGCCGTGAATTTCATTAATGCCTCTAAATTTTCGTATTTTGGGTATGATTTGTGAAGGCATGGGAAGGATTCACAAGCGATGGTTATTGCATGCTGAGTTGCGTTTGCTGTCAACATAAATAAGAAATAAGCGTTCAAAACGCAGAACTCGTGGCTGAAAGACCTGAGAAGATGGTTTGACCGCTTATCCACAACACTCATGCAACAACGAGCTTTATCAACTTTGTAATGGGCCTGACATGTGATAAGAAGTGGAGATGGTAGGCTACCAAAAAGAGCACTCAATGCTAGAATGCAGGTAAAGAGACCGGTTGGAAAGCCAAGAAAGCGCTGCGAAGACACAGACAAGCAAGGGTGGAGGCAAAAAATAAAGCAGGACAAGGCTCAATTTGGGCTGTAGTGCCGTAGAAGAAGCAGATAATCATTTTTCTACATTGGTAGCCTTTTTGGAATCCTCTGGTGAGGAATTGTTACCAACGCAAGTAGAAGAAATGATTAAACACCTGAGGTTTTGCGGTATCTTCTTTTCGGGATTATTCACCAGAATCCGGCAGAAATAAAAACTGGATAGCTGACCCTTTCACCGCAGATATTTTAGATATCATCGGCTAGACAACGATACAGGAAAAGAAAATCAATTAATAGAAATATCATGTGATTCGGCTTTATTACGACATTTCAAATAATCCTCTAAGATCAGATAAGCAAATAAATTCTAAGAAAGAAAACTTTCTTAGTACCGTTTACTAGATAGAGGATAGGTGCTTTAGAACATAGAAAAAAGAAATAAAAAAGTATTTATATATTTGAGAGGTATATTAGAGCTGGAATAACACATGAGAGAATTTTATGCTAGTTTGTGAACAAACTATGTAGAACCTAGCTGAGATATTCCAGACTTAGACCAAAAGATGCAAGTTTAAGCTGAAAAGTATACCTTAAGAAGAAAATAGTAGAAAACAAAACCATTCGACTTAACCAGGTTGTAATAGATAAATATGCCTGCAAATAGACAAAAACAGGTGTTTTTACAGAAAAAAACAAATTACGTAGATGAACTTTAAAACGCATGTGATTAGATTACTAAAATTAGATTAATCATCTATTTTATTATATTAACGGCCGGTTTCCGAAACGTTATTCAAATCTCCAGTCATGTAATCAAGTGTCAAATTTGATCAACTGTTAACAAGCGACAGGTTTCCGAAACGAAAATTATGGTAAAATTAGGTGATCACCGATTATAGATTATTTGACATACGATTTTACATGGAAACTGTAGAATCGATTATAATCGTTTATTATTTCTGTACGAATTGTTCTTTATCTTGCTCTAAATTAAAAAAGTAATGTTGCTGTTTCACTCTACCGTCATTTCTGTTTATGTGTAATCTGCATTCTGAAAATCAACAAACAAACATAACCTAACTATTAATTTTGTGTCGTTTGTTAATGTTTGCCAATTTGTCATTTATCAATCATCATCATATTTAATATTAAATATTAGTAAATTGTTTACCTTTGTAACAATATTTTTGAGTTCTTTCTAAACAACAGCTTTTTATAAAACACCTTAGGTTTATGTATTTACAACGTAACCAAAGATTTTATTTTATTTACTTACAACCATTGATACATAACCAAAGATTATAAGATTAATCGTCCAAAAATCTCAGATTACCTGACAAGCTAGTATGACAGTTGTTTGACATAGATAAAACGATAATTACCGTTTCGGAAACCCAAAATACTTCTGACAGGCTGTTAATCATCGATTATTTGTTTGTTAGATTAGTTAATGTGTGTTATGTGATTGAAGTTTGATCGATGTTTCTGCAACTCAAAATGCATTTAATCGACTGTTAACAGTAGATTACCTAATTTTGATAATGATCAGCCTTTCGGAAACCGGCTGTAAGTATTCTTGTGATTTTAAATTTCTATATAAATAAACTATTATGGATGCTTAAGTCTACGAACACTTCATTATTTTCTATACCTATTACACGTGGCTAGTAATAAACAAAATAATTTACAAATTAACTTCTGGATATCATTCGGTAATGAACATGACAACATCGGGAAGAATATTTCAAAAATAATTATTATTCCAGTAAATTTGGTTAAATACAAATAAGTAAAAAACCTAACAACATACCTTTTCTTCGAGATTCTTCAATTCTCACAACAGTTCTCTCTTCATCCTCTATATTCGTATCATCTTCTATAGTTCCAAGTACTTTAACTTCATCACTAAGTACATATAGTCGTTTAGGCACCAGCGGTTCAGATTGGTGCTTCTTTGTTCCATGATGAGGACGGTATCTGATATTTTGATTAACTTCCTCGAAAATAATATCGGGTGTTAGGCATTCTTCTTGTTTCACTAACTTGTGTTTGATCTGTTCTTCTGAAAATCTGAAAATAAATGTCATATCATAAGTTGCTATATTTATTGTACACGTGTAACGTTGAATACGAATTAAAATAAAATCGTGTTTTTATTTCCACCAAGTATAGTTAATTTGTCATGTTTCGATGAAATATCAGCTTGTTTAGAGTAGACTTCTCCTGCAAAGTACGTTAATCTGAGTATCTGAGTTCGGTATGTTATGTTGATGACAGATGATAGACATGACTCTGTCTGTTTTTCAATTTGCCTCCAGTAAGTAGTCATTCCTTCGTTTTCGTGGACTTCCTACTGATCGTCTTCCTATTGGGGAACCATCTCTTACCGTCTTTACTACTCTATTTGTTGTCATTCGGCTTATATGACCGTTCTATTCTACTCTTCTATTTCTTACCGTTTTTGATGTTCTCCACCTTGCATCTATGTCATATATCTGTACTTTTATCTCTGTCCCATAGTGTCTTATCATCAATTTTTGTAAGTGTTTTCATTTCTGCAGTTTCTAACATCATTTTTGTCTTCTCTGTATCAGGTCCTGTTTCTACCGTATATGTCATTATTGGTGTGATGATTGTTTTGTAAATTCTGCCTTTCGTTTCTTTCCCGATATTTTTATTTCTCCATATTGTTTCATTTAGGCAACTCCATCACTTGTTCTATTATCTGACCTTCCAGGCTCCAATTTACATCTTAGTAAATTTGTTTTTGTAACCATGCATTTTGTCTTTTTTGGGGAAATTAACATGTTAAATTTTCTAGCGGTTATATTAAATTGGTGCAGCATACGTTGTAAATCATCTTCACTTTGAGAGAGTAGTATTGCGTCGTCTGCATAGCAGATTATTTTCAGTTGTTTTTCTCCCATTTGGTATCCTTTTTCAGTTCTTACTTTTTTTTATTATTTTATCCACAATCAGGTTGAACAATAGAGGGCTCAGGGAATCTCCCTGTCTTATCCAATAGCTAGCTTCAATACGGTCGTTTAGTTTTTCTTCTACTTTTACTTTTATTGTGTTGTTTTGGTAGATATTTTCGATCGTTTTGATTACGATGACGTTATAATCCATTTCGCTAATTCCAAAAAACTTAGACTAGAGTGAATTTGGGTTCTAAATTTATAGGGACAAAAACAAAAAACAAAAAATCTCCTATGATGATTGAGCCTTTTTATTAGAAGGCATACTTATTTAGAGGCAAAAAACCTTACCGACACTGTCTCTAAACCCACGAGCCGCCACTGCTCTAATATTTAATAATAATTTAAAAGATAATTAATTTCTGATTTCGACAAATTACATAATATAAGTTCAACCCCCTCTGTGGCTCAGTGGTAAGAGCGCCTATCTTTAAACCTAAAGGTCGTGAGTTCGAATATCACCTGGGTGGAGAAATTTTCGTTTATTAAAAATTAATGAATGAAAATAATTTCTATCCTTGTGTGATCGGTACTCACCGGAGGGACCGCAGACGTTCGGATACAATTAGCGTCTCTTAGCAAAGACAATGACGTCTGCTATGTATCAAGACAATTACTCTACTCACACACACACTACACTAGGTACCTGACTGTACCATGCCAATGACCATTAGTTGTCGAGGCATTCACTCAATAAAATATATATATATATATATATATATATATATATATATATATATATATATATATATGTTGTTTTTACTGAAAATTACTGAGTTACTATGTCATTACTGATGTCAAACGAAGACATCAGGAGAAGAACCGGAATGACTGACATCATCGAGAAGATAGCCAGACTAAAATGGAGATGGGCAGGACACATAGCCAGTATGACACATGGGCGATGGACAAAGAGGTTATTGGAATGGAGGCCAAGGGAAGACAAGAGAAGCGTCCGTCGACCACCTACAAGATGGACTGACGATTTAAGAAGACTCAATAAAAACTGGATAAGAGCGGCGCAAGATAGACGGGGTTGGAAACATGAGGAGGAGGCCTATGTTCAGCAGTGGACTCTTGAGGCTGGATGATGATGTCATTTTAAATCACCGTGTATTTTATCTAATCAAGTATAATATGTGATTTCCGTGAAATTATTTTCGTTCTGTTATATCCTACATTGTACAATTTTCTATTACTAATTATTTAATAATGGAATATTTTGTGTACATTCTATTGGTGTCGTTTTTATAATTAGAACACTCTAAATAATAATCTCTAAAAAATAATCTCTAAAAGTAAAGGTTTTTAAGATTGTGACGCATTGTGTGCACTTGTACTCAAACAAGTGACCTGGAATGTATATGAACCCTAGAATATACAAAGATTTAGCTAAATCTTATAGAACAGTTTATTTTTTCAAGTACATAAATCCTACTTTAATTGGTATTAATAAAATTATTAATCACGTTATACTTAATCGAGATAGCAAAATTAATCTTGCGGGCTTATATCCCGTGAATGAATTCTTTTTTAAAAATATATAAAAACACATTCTAAAAATATTTTGCCCTTTCAATTTAATTAAGATGGATAATTTAATCTTAAGTTTAGTAAAGTTGTAAATTAAAGAACAAGAATAATACATACGAGGGTGGATTGATATAAAACTAGCCTTTGATAGAAAAGCAAGTTTTTTGGAATTAAATCGATTTATTTCTCAACATAGTGCCCTTTTAGCTCGATACACTTAGTAAGACGATGTTCCAATTTTATTATCCCATCCAAATAGTACTTTTGCTCGAGCTCTTCAAAATAGGCCGAAGTTTTAGCGACGACTTCATCATTTGTTGCGAAACGGCGTACTCCGAGCCATTTTTTTAGGTTTGGAAACTGGAATTCGCTGGCGGCAAGATCTGGGGAATACGGTGGGTATTCAACAAGGTGGGTTGGTGACGGCCGATCGGTGAGCCGGTGCATTGTCTTGGTGAAAGAGCACTTTTTTGCGTTCCAAACCGGGGCGTTTTCGACGCAATTCGGCATCGAATCGATCCAATAATGTATAGTATTCACCATTACTCTCCACCAGTGGTGCACTCTTTATCTTCCTCGGCGGCCCTTCGTCGCGTTTCCGCCACTGTTTCGACTGTTCTTTGGTTTCCGGTGTGTAATAATGCACCAAGGTTTGCACCTCTATTAACTCGCGGAGCTTAATTCGACGATCTGCCATAATCTTGTCATGGACTTTGTTGATCAATTCCGGCGTGGTGACTTGATTTGGCTTCCCGGGACGCTCATCATCAAAAACACTCGTACGACCACGAACAAATTCAGCTTTCCAAAATTTTACTGTTGCTAATGAAGGTGCAACTTTACCATAAACTTCGTCCAGGTCGGCTTTGATTTGCACATTCGTTTTACTCTTTTTGTGGAGAAACTTAATCACCGAACGATACTCGACTTTTTCCATTTCTCCGAAAACACAAAATTTGCTTGCTTTTGACAGCTGTAAAAACCAAACTAATTGTTTTTAAAACTTAAAATTTTGACAGGCGCCATGTCAAGAATGGAAAATGTCAACACCGAAACCAATTCGGTGTCAAGTAGCGCCATCTATCAAAGGCTAGTTTAATATCAATCTATCCTCGTAAATATAAATAGGTTCTATAACAGGGTTTCAATTTCAGAATCAATTAAAACAATAGTTTACTCTCATTCCATCTTTTCACGCTTACACACTACATGGAGTAAAAAACCCAGTCCCGCGCATATTTCTTTTTATCAATTTGAGGCAGTACTAAGATTAAGTATTTTGAGAACGATTTCCGAAGTGGAAATTGAAACGTCAATAAAAGTACTAAGATTGTCTAAATTTTTTTGTACTGACTTTTCCTTAATTTTAATTGAGTAATTTGGTCATAATTTTAAAAAAAGACTATATATTATTTTAGAGATCAATACTAGTAATAGATTTAGGATAAGATTGTGTATGAAACAATAACTAATGATAAAATGAGTAAAAATTGTAATTGGCGAATGGATTTAGTGTCAGCAGTCATATAAACACAAACAAATAACAAACAAAATGACGCACTTGTGTATAGTAGGTCATTATACAGGGTGGACCTTAAGTAATTGTACAAAAAGAACTACACTTTAAAATATTGTGTTTTGAGTCAATTTGCTTTAATAAAATGTTAATATTAAGCAAGATACAGGGTGTTAAAGTGGAAATTAAAAATGTTATTTTTCGCTATAGATTTTATTCTGTAAACATTGACGTATAAAAATTTACAACTGGGTGTTTTTGAGTATGAGAAATTAAAATTTAATGCAAATTTTGATGTAGCTGATACAGGGAGCCGCATATGTGGCATACATTTGCGCCTAACTTATTTGCTCTTTAAGTCAAGTTTTAGTGTATAGAAATAAAAAACATCATAATATTCGGTAAAAAAAGGTGCTTTTTTATTTTAGCATTTTTTCTGTATCATTTTTAGTTATTGATTTATTTTCAAAAAAGAAAATTTTCTGAGAAATTCCGAAACTAATGTCTCTACTTTATACTCAGTCTTTTACAAAACTAAACCTTTTAAACCAGCTCTTCTAAAATGTAATGATTGTATATAAATAAAGTAAATTGTAAATTAACAATGAATAGTTTCAACCAGGGTGCTTCTGGCGGAGGTGAATTTGTTACTTTCTGCGTCAAAAAAATATAAGCGTAAGGACTTTATTTTAGTTATAACTTAATCACCTTAATATTTATGCAAATCTCTTTTACCAGCGGTCGTTTTAAAGGTTGTTTATAAGGTCTTTAAAAAAGGTTCTATAAGTTTTCCATGAAAAACTTACCGTTTTCCGGTTATTCAATATCATTTGTTTGCAGTTTTGTATTCGATGAATAAAATTTCGAACAGGCAGAACTTTGTTAATATTAAGTTTATGGGGATAATTAAAAATTAATCTTTTTTTTTTCGTATGCTTCATTTTATATCCAACCAGTTTTCCCGATAAAATCTTAATTATTGGAGTTATTCACGAAAAACCGTTGAAAAACATGCTTTTTTGAAGTGTAATTTTTGACCTTTTAGTCACGAATAACTCCAAAAATATTCACTTTTCGAAAATCTCACAATATTTTGGTCGTAAAATTCACTATTCTACCGACTACCGTAGTTTTTTTGATTTTGCCACCCCCATTGGCAGTGGTAACCAGCTCCAGAGAAAAAGCACATATTGACATAGGGTAGATTTTGATCTTAAAGCTGATTTTTAAACAACTACTGTTAACTACTTTTAACTGCTATCAAAATTTCAAGCCAATCAATGCATAAAAAAATAGAGATTTTTCTACTATTTATACCGTCATGCCCTGGACTAATGGGCTAGATGTTGCTATATCTGTGTTGTTGATATATTTACAATGTGTTGTTGATATATTTACAAATTAGGAATAATTATTCAAAATAAAGGTGGTTTAGGAAGGATCGAAATGTGAAAGGCACAACAAGTGACATATCAAACATTTTCCAGCACAAACTTGAAAACACGATAAAATTACAATAAGAAAACTACGAACTTTCGTAAATCTCTAAGAAACATCCTGAAGATATACTGGCCCATCAGAATAACCCATACAGAACTATGGGAAAGAGCAAAACATATCTACTACAGGCAAGAACACAAAGTCGAAATGGATTGACCACACACATAAGTAAAACGGAAAGAGTAAGAGTAGTAAATAGTAGAAGGAGAGAAAGAAAGACCCACAACAAGAAAATCCCAGTATAGTATAAAGAATTTTAATACGAACTGAATAGTTCGATATTGATGTACCTATTGCTTGTATGGATATTTTGTGTGTCAGAAATGAATGAAGAAGGAGACAAATTCCCTTTTTTAAGGTTCTGGTATCTAAACAGAGACTATGTGAATGATGATACACAATGGATTGCAAAAACCGGAAATACTTTTTTATCTAATCTTATCTAATATAATTTGGATTATGTTATAATCCAAATGCATACCTAGATTCTCGTAAATACAAGTGAATAAAAATAACTGAAAAATTTGAGTAAACTAATTTCATTATCATGTGATAAGAGCTTTTTGATATTCTTTCAGTATTACTGCATAATTTGTTTTTCAAATTGGATCGAAGCAAATGGTTATTTGTTAAAAATATTATACTTATAAACTACAAGCTAATACTTATAAACTACCACTCACTTTTTGTAATCCTTAAAGAACATAACACACATAAGTACGTTGTTCAACAAAAATAATTCGGGTGTCTCACGAAAATCCTTTCGAATCCTTTCAATATGCTGTAAGTCTAGTTTACTTAAATCTAAAATTTTGTTATTATCATTATTGTCTGTCTTATTAACTGCATTGTTATTGTTATTTTGTGATAACTCGTCGTTAACACTCACTTCACGTCCTTTTTTTGAACTACCACTACCCATTTTAAATTACTGCATGATCACTTCACGAAGTATTTGCTTCTACTACTAACTGACAAGAGTTATCTTTGAAGATTGATTAAGTTTATACAATATTTTATTATCAGATTTTATCCATTCTTATCAAAAATTAAAATATTTGCTACTAAAAAAACGTTTTTATTAAATCAATGTTTGAAGTGGAAGGTACATTCAATATATGTAGAGGCGAGTAATTTCGGAAAATTGTAGGAAAAACCATAGAAATAAAACATTTATGTATGATGTATGACGACAAATGTAAGATGTAATGTCATCCATGTAAGAATTACGTTATGCCAAATTAATTGTTGTTGTTTGTTTGTGTTTAAATGACTGCGGACACTAAATCCATTCGCCAATCTTACAATTTGAGGTGTAGTGTGTGTGTGTGTGCAGAGTAATTGTCTTGATACTTAGCAAAGTCGACGTCATTGTCTTTGCTAAGAGACGCTAATTGTATCCGAACGTCTGCGGTCCCTCCGGTGTGTACCGATCACACAAGGATAGAAATTATTTTCATTTATTAATTTTTTTAATAAACGAAAATTTCCACCCAGGTGGGATTCGAACTCACGACCTTTAGATTTAAAGGCAGGCGCTCTTACCACTGAGCCACAGAGGGGGTGCCAAATTAATAAAAGGTTAAAATATTAATTACTTAGAAGCTTAAAAAAATATTCTTGTTACTAGCTTATAAATAGGTACTTACGACACGATTTTGAAAAAGTTTATGGTGAATAGTTATAATTTTTTTTAATCATTTTCTTATAACTTTAAAGTATTAAAATGAATTTAAAATGTATTTTTTTATTTATTTTCCAAGTAAAGATTTGCAATCTGTCCTGGTTGAAAATAATCAACTTTGATAATTCAATCAGAGAAATTAACATGAGCGAAGATTACCTGCCACTGTTGGTAGCTTCCTAATTACATTTAACTAAAATTAATATTTAAAAATTTTTCTGATATACTAATCAATTTATTTATTAAATATGTCTGATAAGTCCAAGGGTTTGTGCCTCTTAAGTCTTCTCACTTCCTTGTTGTTGTCCAGTAGGTTTAATGCAGTAGAATTTGAGTGAACTTTTAACCGGTTTAAATGCCTTCTTCTTCTTTACATGCCATCTCCGTGACGGAGGTTGGCAATCATCATGGCTATTATGATCTTGGGTGCTGCTGCTCTGAATAGTTCAATTGATGTGCATCCGTACCATTCCCTCAAGTTATGCAACCGTGAGATTCTTGTCCTTCTTACACTTTTCTTGCCCTGAATTTTCCCTTGTATAATTAATTGAAGTATGTTGTATATTTTATTACGCATAACATTAAACAGGGGAGTCAAACACGGAGATACTTTATCATCCAAACTGTTCACCTTAGTTTTGGAGGACGTTTTTAAAAACTTAGATTAGAAATATAAGGGAATAAACATCAATGGCCGCTACCTCAGTAATCTACGATTTACAGATGACATAATCCTGATAGCTACTGACCTACAAGAAATGCAAACCATGCTTTTAGAACTACATACCGAATCTTCTAAAATAGGACTGAAAATGAATTTAAACAAAACAAAAGTCATGCACTCCGGAGACACCGTGACAATAATAAACGATAAAGTTATAGAAAAAGTTGAAGAATATATATACTTAGGACAAAAAATAATACTAAATAGGGAAATTCAAACTGAAGAAATAAAAAGAAGAAGAAAGTTAGCTTGGGCAGCATTCGGTAAACTGAACTATATACTCAGAAATCAACAAATTCAATTACATCTTAGATCTAAAGTTTTTGATGCATGCATTATTCCGATATTAACTTATGCGGCACAAACATGGACAATCACAAAAAAGAATATTAATATACTTAGAGTCACTCAACACGCGATGAATAGAGCAAGTATATCACTTAAGGACAAGAAAATAAACACATGGATAAGATAGAAAACCAAAGTCACCGATGTGGTGCAAAAATCATTAAAGTTGAAATGGGAATACGCTGGACATATAGCTAGGAGCGATCTAAACAAATGGCACAGATCAATTTTGCCAAAATTACATTATATTTTACAAATTCAAAGCCAAAAAATTTCCCTTCCGTCTTACAGCTAGCCTGTCATCCACAAACTTAAAACAAACAATCTTCCCTTTGTTATTCGTTCCTAACGATGAAAGACAAATAAAACCTTTTTTTTATCAGGGGGCATCATAAATTTACATAATACAAATTAACTAAATAGCACGTATTTAAACCGGAGTTCTACCTGACTTTGTAACAAAAGGTTCGATATTTGAATCTAAACACAGACAAAAAACATCTATATTTACTTTTGAATCGGTAGAAATATACGCATTATTGATTATTCTAACCGGAATATTAGGGGGACTTCATGTAACATAATACCTCTTTGGCGACAAAAAAAACTTGTTGTTTCACCTAATATTGCAACACAGAGATAAAAACATATTTTCAGCGTTAATACGCATTTAAAAATCTCGTCAAAAAAACTTGAAATATTATTTCGATTGTTTTCTTTGGTAAAAACAACAGGAGCATACTACAGAAATCTTTTATATACACCTTAAATAAAAAAAAACGCTACAGGGTTGTGAGTCACAATAATATATTTGTAATTTTTAAATTCATCCAGTATTAGGAATCTTGGAAGTTTGTACTGGGGATTTCTCTATTTTTACCTATTTCTCATCATATCGGGAATATCTTGGTTTATAGTTAAGACATATCTTGTTTTATAAGTAATATAAAAATAATCTCACGATATACCCTACAGATCATTCAGGTGTAACCGACCATTGTGCATCCAACGAAAAAGTCAACAAAATATTTCACTACTACCAGGAGAATATGCGGCAACGTTCATTTCCGAGATCGGAAAACGGTAAACATAGAAATCATGTCAAACCAATACAGACCGAACAAAACTTGGTGATTGTTTTAGCATAAGTAACGATTAATTAACATGTGTCCACAAGGTCTATTGCTGCGGAAACTAGATTGTCTTTTCCGGTAGCGGAAGTAATATTTATTAAAAAAAACAGTCCATCATCAGGTTTAAAATCTGCTAGGTTAAAATGCCTGAGCCACCAAAAATACATGGGTAAAAACCCTTTAAATTACTTATAGTTATCAAAGATTATACATCTTGTTGTTAAAAAAACTGTGATGTTCATTATTAAATTAAATATGACTTCAGATAACATACATTGCAAAAATTTTGAGTTCCAGAGCCGGGAGAAAACCTCTACGCACGGAGAACAGCTGGAAACGTAGAGGTTTTCTCCCCGGCTCTGGAACTCAAAACTTTTTGCAATGTATGTTACCTGAAGTCATATTTAATTTAATAATGAACATCACAGTTTTTTAACAACAAGATGTATAATCTTTGATAACTATAAGTAATTTAAAGGGTTTTTACCCATGTATTTTTGGTGGCTCGGGCATTTTAATCTAGCAGATTTTAAACCTGATGATGGACTGTTTAGTCCGAAAACGTTTGTTTTTTTGATGTAGCCCCTTTAAGGGTTTTTAAATAAATATACCCACTGACAAAGACTAACCTCTTTTTTGTGATACGTGGTATACAGCCAGCTACAGGAATTGTTTTCCTTGTGGATTTTAATATTTATTACTTCCTGAATTATAGTCTGTTACAAACATCTTGGAACACCCTGTATAATATATACGATAAATTCTAGAACCGAATAACTGACTTTAAAGGGTATAGTCATTAAAAAGAGAATGTTTTACTTTGCAAGTGTTGCAAGATAGTCGTTATAAGTCGGTAAATAAGTAATTTACCATGCAACGACTTATCTTGTGTAAACTTTACATGTAAGGTCAAGGTATCTGTTAACTGAAATTTTACTAGTGGGCATTTTCCGAGGAAATGGAGAAAACCACTCATTTTTGCACTAATGCATTTTACACTCGACAAAATTGTATAATGCGTATACATTTTCTTATTGTTCAAAAGTAAATAGTTATAATTTTCTCTTTGTTTCAGGTAGAATCAGTACAATGGACTTTCGACTCAATAGATGACATTACAAGTCAAGGTGAACTAAAACCTCTAGCAGAATTTCTGTCCAAAAAGCAATTTGATCTTGTCATCAATTTGCCAATGAGAAATGGCGGTGCCAGAAGAGTGTCCTCTTTTATGACGCATGGATATAGAACTAGAAGATTGGCCATAGATTATTCCATCCCACTGATAACAGATGTAAAGTGTGCTAAGTTGCTGGTGGAAGCCCTACGTATTATTGGAAAAGCCCCTTCGATGAAAACTCACATCGATTGTATCAGTTCGCGCAACATAGTAAAGCTTCCAGGTTTTATAGACATCCACGTCCACGTGAGAGAACCTGGAGCCACGTACAAAGAAGACTACGCATCGTGCACAGCTGCTGCTCTCGCTGGAGGTGTCACTCTTATTTGTGCGATGCCTAACACAAATCCCGCCATTGTTGACGAGGAGTCTTTTGCGTTGGTTAAAAGGTTGGCTAAAGAAGGCGCCAGGTGTGATTATGCTTTATTCGTAGGTAATGTAGAGCTCTTATTCTTATTATTACGTACATATTTTTCTATCGCTATTTTCTTGTGGCACTTTAAAGTAGATACTATTTTATTGGGAATAAGCCACAATTGAAGGTTAAAATAAGTTTATTGACGTTTCAATTTCTCGATTTCCGAACTGGAAATTGAAATTTCAATAAACTTATTTCAACCTTCAATTGTGGCTTATTCCTAATAAAAAAGTAGCTGCATATTTTGTTATTAAAGAAAATATACTTACTTTGTAATTGATTGGACAATTGATTTTAAAAAAATTATGTCACATTTCCTGGTACGACTTTTACCCCAGACTTCACACTTTTAGGCGCTTCTTCGGACAACACATCAATGATCTCTGAGTTAGCAGCAGAAGCTGCAGGATTAAAAATGTACCTTAATGAGACATTCACCACTCTCCGTCTAGGGGACCTTGACGTCTGGTCCAAACATCTAGCCAATTGGCCAAAGAGAGCACCTCTTTGCGTCCACGCTGAGTCTCAGACCACAGCAGCAATTATTCTTTTGGCTAGTCTCCAAAATAGACCAGTTCATATATGTCACGTTGCCAGAAAAGAAGAAATATTAATAATTAAGGCAGCAAAGGAAAAAGGATTAAAAGTTACATGCGAAGTGTGTCCTCACCATCTATTTCTTTCAACGAATGATATCGAGAAAATCGGAGTCACAAAGAGTCAGGTACGTACAGAGGATAAAGAATATTGTTTAATTAAATCATTTATATCACCATGGCGTTAAAAAAAAGACACATTTTAAGGTTATGATATCAGTTTCTTTCAACTACATACTACTTTTTGAAGATATAAATAAATAAAATAACACTATAAGATAGCAATTGTAGACATATAAAATTACTATGTATACTTATCTGGCATTATTTTAAGGTTATTATACAAATTGTATTAATATCCCTGCACACTTTTAAAACGTGGCTGTCACAAACAACTACATAAGGTTTAGAACAAAAGTGGGACATGTACACTTGCACCACTTTTGGTTTCTGGTAACAGGAAAACTGTTGTAACTTAAACGTCCTAGTGTATAATCAAATAATGTAATCTTAAATTAAATTTAATAACAGTTAAATGGTTTATACTAACTCTTTAATGAACCAGATGTCGTAATGTTTAATAAGCGACTTAGATGAGCTGGACACATAATACGAATGTCAGACAATACGATTGCTAAAAAGCTAAAGACAGGAATACTTATATTAAGAAGAACCAGAGACTGACCGCGAATTAGGTGGTTAGATGGAGTTAAGAACGACTTGAGATACTAAAAATCAGAAGATGACAACACGTCACCAGAAATCGATCAGAATCGCAACGAATCTTAGAGCAGGCCAGCATCCACAGGGGATTGTCGAACCAAAAAAGATGATGATGATGATGGCACCTTTAGATCTAAGTCGAACATTTCGATATGACTTTGTTATATTTTGAAACTCTTGGTAACTTTTTCTTAGTACAATGTCGTCTGCATGCCCTATGTTGTTTATCGTAATTCCTTCGATCTTGATTTCACATTGGGCCTCGTCCAATGATTCCCTAAACATAGACTCTGAGTATATATTAAACAGAAGCGGGGACAGACTCTGTCTGACTACTTGGCTTATCCGTAAATATTCCGATTATCTCTGCAAACTGTTTTTGTAGATTTATTTACTCTAACAGTATAGCTGACGACCAATCGAACTGACAGACTCACTTCGAAGTGATTAGTTGACTCAACTTAATGTTTCGAACTGAAAGTCATCCAGAGAAAATGTTTAAACGTCATTTTAGAAAATCCGAACTGGACCTACTCAGCTCAGTTTATTGATAAACCTGTATCTATAGAGTAGGGAGGGCGAGTTAAGTTTCACAGCACTTAGGCCACAATTGACCCATTTTGCATCCTGCCAGGGAGTCGTCGCCCTTAGCTCATTGTCCATCCTGCCATTTCTAGGAAGGTGGATAAGTCACCAGGAGACACCTATCTTATGTAGACAGGTGTGGGCCATGACTCGCCGAACGCGTACTCTCGTATTAACGATAACTCCGGGCATTCACATAGGACATGCTCTACAGTTTCGTCTTCTCGTTCACACTTTCTACATAGAGGTGTGTCTGCTAGCTCCAGTATGTAAAGGTGTTTGCTTAGTTGATAATGACCAGTTAAAAACTAACTGTCAAGCGTAGGTTTTTTTTGGTCATTCCCAAGTACTTCTTTGATGCTGACTCTTCAAGGTTACTTAGTGTTACCCTGGCAAGTTTACATCCTTGTCTTCCCATCTTTTTACGGTTTGCGTGTGGGAGTGACATTTGACAATTTCCGCAATTGTAGTTGGCCAACCAAAAAGATCTCCAGGTCCTAAGAGTCTTAGGGCTGCCGCCTTCGTAGCCAATTGGTCAGCAATGCGGTTGCCTTAATTCCTATTGTGTCCTTGAACCTATCTCAGGATAATGGTATTACCATCTGAAGCCTGAGTTAGTGACTCGTGACACTCCATTACTAACCCTGATGTGGCACGTGGTCTATTCAAGGTTAGTAGCGCTTGTCTGCTATCTGTGCAGACCATTATAGTTTTTCCTGCTATACCTTTTTGGGTTATCTCTTTTGCGGCTATGGAGATACCAGCCAGTTCTGCCTGTTCTATTGATAGATTTTTGATAGATTATTGATAGATTTATACTCAGATTTTGTTCTACTCTATTTTCATTCGTCTTTATAGGTGTATGAGATTTAAATATAATATTCAATAACCTCTAGAATTGCATTGTACTGTATTTTTTGATACATGGAAAAAAATTTAAAGATATCTACTATCTAATCACGTACCAAATCAGAGAAATGGTTTTAATTGGTTTCATTTTTATCAAAACAATAATCGATTTATACTACTTTAGTAGACAGATGATAGTTACTTCTAATATAAGATAAAATTTAATAATATTGTGTGAATAAAACCAATTAGCTGGCAACTTATCATATTTATTGTTCTAATTAAAATTACATTTGCAAAGTCAATTACTAACTTGTCAATTTCTAATTTATTTATACTATTTATGTTTTAAAATTATTAATATAGTCTTTTTACTCATCTTGGTCATATTTTGATAGATCCATTGTTCTAAGCATCTTCCTTCACATCCACCACTACATACCCTCATTTTGGTGGTTTAATTGATTAACTAAGTACTATTTTAATGGGAATAAGCTTAAGTTTAAAATAAGTTTATACACGTTTTAATTTCCACTTCGGAAATCGTTTTCAAAATACAAATATTAATAGATTAAACAAGTTTTGTTTTTATTACTTGGTAATCAATTCTTCTAATAATTTAATTTTATCTCCCCCTTTAAATTGACAATTCGTACCAGGAACGGAACTCAGAAATATTGGCAATATTATTATTATGTCTACTTTAAAATGTATAATATATATCTGAATTGCAATATAAATGAGTCAGATAAAATTAAATTACTAGAAGAATTTTTCACCAAGTAAAAAACAAAATTTGTTTAATTTATTAATGTTTGTATTTTGATAATGATTTATGAAGTGGAAATTGAAACATGAATAAACTTACAAATCGAACAAAATCACACTTTGTTTTATATTTCTTAATGTAGAGTTTGAAGTATTCCAATTTTTTTGCCATTTTGTCATGATTTTGTTCTTAAAATATTGGTTTAAATCAGTATGAACACAGGTAGTTATGAGGTCTCTTAACGGATTCTCACTTGCATTTTTTTCTAATATGTCAGCTTTTTCATTTCCACTTATCTCGCAATGTGAAAGTGCTCGGAAGAACTGAACTAATCTTTTATTTTGTGAGTTCCAAATTAATTAAAATCAGGACGGGATGTTTGGGGTACCATTGCTGTTAATGTACTTAGGAAATCGCTAATGATTAGATAGTACCTGATGTCATCAGTGTTGACAAACGTTAATGCCTGGAGGATAGAAAAGAGTTCAGCGGACACTATATCTCTAGTGCTTTCTGTTTGAAATTTTTGGCTGGTCTGTCACATTTCTTGAATACAGAATGGTTTATATTACAATAATCGTTAATTATTGTATCTAAGCTTTGTAACATTGCTTTCTCTCGATGATAAAACGGACGATCAATATTTTTCCATAAATTAAGCATCGATGGATATCTATCTGTAAATTTATTTTTATAAACAGGTACCTCTGGGTTAGCTGATACTCTTGAAGCATTTATGAGGCTAAGGTATTCCCTCCATCAATGGAGGTTAGCGGTTATGGTTATGGTATTATGAGGGATACGTTTCATTAAGTTGAGGCCGTTTTGAGCTGACAGTGAGTGAGTGGATGTAATCTTGACCAATATAGTCGATTATCCATTTTTACTCCCAAGAAGTTAATTGAATCTGAATAATTTATTGGTGAATTCATTAGGTGGAGTTTCGGTGGTATAATGTGCTTCTTTTGAGTTTTACTGAAGATGATTGCTATCGTTTTAGTGGGAGAAAATTGTTGATATATTGTTGATATATTTTTCCTTAGCGGAATATAAAAAGATCATCAAAAAATAGACGAGCTTTGAATAGTGGGCTAAATGATTTACCGATGTCTTTGATGGCAATAAGGAAAAGTGCAACACTAAGAGTAGACCCTTGAGGAATGTCTACCATCGGTTGGTAATCATACACGTATTGTGAAACTTTTTTAGTTACCATAATTGCAACACCATTTCTTCCTGTGTTATTTGTTCCCGATATGTATACAACATGATCTACCGTTCGGACGTGTCTTTGTCGTTTCCAATGGGGCTCCGAAAGTATGCATATTTCTATATCCTCTCTTTCGACTTCTCGTTGTAGTATATGCAGTTTGCCTGGTTGCAATAATCCTCGAACATTACAGATTAACTGAAAATCTGATTTTCTTCCAGGCGCCAATTTCGCATGTGTTGCCTGGTTCCTCAAAAACACATGCTCGGTAGCCCATTTGGCACTAGTTTTCCCGGAACCAACTGAGCGCCGATCGCTAATCGGATCGATAAGCATATCTAACTGATTCGATACATTCATGATGGTGTAGTCACGGGAATATAATCAGGTGGTTTCCCCTTGCCTGGCTGATCGCAGTATCACGGCCGGTTGAATCATTATGTGATATCCGCCTGTGAGTATCTGCCATTAAGCCAACAGTAGAAATCATTCCGCTATCGCCTATATATATATATATATATATATATATATATATATATATATATATATATATATACCATCTACCATTGGCGCTTCATTGTCAGAATGTGCTAGAATGGCAGAAGATAGAAAAACGTGGAGGAACATTGGGAAATTTAGCTAATAGCTTCATGATATCATCACGATACCTGCATCAGGTTAACGACTAAGAAGAAGAAGATATATATATATATATATATATATTATATATATATATATATATATATTACTCACACCTATTCTATATATCTGTAGGACATTCCCATATCAGCCAGTGGCACGCACCGTGTCTGGGTTGAGGACTCCCCGCCCGTCCTTCTTCCGCGAAGTACAGAAGAGTACTTATCCTATCTTAACTTATCTTTATTGAAGTATGTGACATATAGATGTTAATCAGTAGTTGGGAAAGATACGGTCTCTTTTTATACCGCGACGTATTTCAATACTAATGTATGTAAGTATAATAATTAATGATAGAATCTTTGTCATTAAAATAATGTTTTATGTCTATCCGAAAACCGGAAGATAAACTTTTCGATGAACCATATTGATTGAAATATGAATAAGTTTAGATTAAATGATCCCTGCTACCTTAATGGACAACTATTATATACAACTATTTAATATCATGTCATTTTAATTCTCTTGTATTTTTCTCCTCATCCCAAAGGTTTCTTAAGAAAACTCTGTGTTATTTACTTGTGGATTATTAAAAAACTGTTAAAATATTGGTTCGATCAGTGTGCATCATAGAAAAAAAAAATGAAAAAAATTATTTGACATAGGCATGTTTCAAAAAATAAATTTGCTATTCTTATAGTTGCGATATGTTGAAAACTATTTGAGATCAAGTAAATGTTTTTCATAAATTTATAAATAAATTTTAAATTCAAGTAAATTATAAATAACACCACTGCGCATGGCGAACTCATTTTAGTTCCTTTACTTAACCTCAAAAGACATACTATTTTACTTCTATATAAGAATTATATACTGTTTTGTTCTATTCTTCAATAAAATTATTTGAAACTTTAAATATTTTTTAGGTTAGACCAGTTTTGGTATCCCCAGAAGACCAGCAGGCTCTTTGGGATAATCTCAGCATTATTGACTGTTTTGCCACAGATCATGCACCTCACACAATTGAAGAAAAGCTTAGCGAGAAAGCTCCCCCGGGCTTCCCAGGATTAGAAACAATTTTACCGCTTCTACTTAATGCAGTCAATGAAGGTAGAATAACTTTGGAGGATCTTATAAATAAGTTCCACAAGAATCCTAAAAGAATATTTAATTTGCCCGAACAGCACAACACATACGTTGAAGTAGATATGGAAGAAGAATGGATTATTCCCGAAGCTATGAGTTATAGTAAGGCCAAGTGGACACCATTTGCAGGAAAAAAAGTATAAGCAACACATCAATTAGTGTTTTAAAAGTGATAATAACTTGTTTTAGATAAAAGGCGCTGTCCATAGAGTTGTTCTTCGTGGAGAGGTAGCCTATGTTGAGGGGCAAGTTTTAGTTCAACCAGGTTTTGGTCAGAATGTTAGGGAATGGGATAAAAGATTGTATACTACTTCCGTCGAAATGAGCCGACCTTCCTCAACTTTGGCATTGGACAGACCTTTATCACCGTATTTATTAAACAACAGCCTTGAATATGATAATGATAGGCAGACTAATGAGATATTCTCCAAACTTCTATCTGGAGAAGGTAAAGTCCACTTTGCCAATGAAGCACAAACTTTCGATTCTAGGTAAGAATTATAACAAATTAAACATATTGACGGCCTAATTAACAAACCACGTCACCCACATTATCTTGTTTTTACAGGAGCATCAAAAAACTAAATAACTTTGAAAAAGTAGGCCTTACTGACTTGGTATTTTTAAAAACACAATAAATATAATTCTTTATTGGAGTTAGGAGTTTTTCCAAATTTAGTTACGGAGTTACTTGGCATTACTTTAACAGATACGTGGTTTGCAAACTTTTAATTAGCGAGTTAAGTGGTTTTAAACCAAATATTCTATTTATTTGAACTATTTTCATTTGACCCAATGTTACAGAATCTTATCTATATAGGAGAAATAAAAGACAGCATAACTTGGATTGAAAACGTTTATTGCATTTGTTTTAAAAAAATTACAAAGTTTTGTTACATGGGTAAATTATCATAAAATGAGTGATAGTCTTTTGCAATACTCGGTTTCAGTTCTTGTAAATATTGATATTTAGCCGCAGAATTTTCAGCCCGTCATTGTAGAGTGGTTGAAAGATAGCTTAAACTAGTTCTCGAACTTTGACCTGGTAACTGGTCCAGATTTATTTGAATCTTGGGCTTTTTTTTTAATTTTCTGGATACTTCATCAACCTTTTTTTTGCTATCATCACACGACGGTAGTATATAGTTTTATATATCGCTATATGGTCGCGTGCATTGAGTGACACTCCATCTGAGTGTGACCCTTTTCGAGGTATTTACTCTCTATACTTATTTTGTATTTAACGGCCACATGTAAGAGGGCGTTACTCATAATTTTACTTTGGTTTTGATAATTATATCCCTAAATGTTACAATTTTCGTTGCATTGTTCGGCAGGGTAAGTTGCGAATTAACAAAATGTGTTAAAATGCTGGCAAATTCATTTTCTGAAAAATCCCTTTCCGTCTCGTTCCAAAGGTAGCAAAACCCTTCCTTTGTCTTCAGGTCAAACATAGTGAGGTTGTGTACCGAAAGTTTACGCCTGTAGTAAAGGCATGAAGCGTTTGATTTCGGCCATAGTAACAGTGATTGAAGATCAACTGTGCTCTCCATTCATTTTATCTTTTGGCTCTAGCTTTTATTTTCTAGCTTCATCTTTTTTTGTTCTGTGGGTTTCAAAATCTTCTTTAGTAATGTGATTTAGCTTGTATGCCCTGCATATATCGCATTGATTCTTTTTTTATCCTGTATAAAGACAAATTCAAGTACTCGAAGTTCTTGTGAAATATGCAAGAAGACAGTAGCTATCTTTTGCCTTGCACCAGTTTTCTGTATAGAACTGATACAGTTAAGCTTTTGATAACCAATTCAGCTCCAAGTAAAATTGTTTTGAGCTCGCCCGGCAATAATGTGATTCCACGTTCTATAAGGTCTAAAAATTCTTTCAATGATTTCAATATTTTGTTTAAATCGTGTTGCCTTGTCATTCTTTTTTGCATTTAGTTTCTTTGCTGTATTCTCATTCTTCTTTGTTGAATTCTCATTCGTATTTGGCTCATCTATTTAGTCATTATTTGATCAGTATTGACCACTCACCTAAATCCAAGGTTGAGAGTAATGGTTTCTTGCACACACGGACTTTGGAGATTTGATCAATAAATAAGTAATACTTAAAGGAGTAAGATCGTCTTCATATATTATCTTCTGATCTATCCCGAGTTCTTTGTGTCAAATCCACATCAGTTGAAGTTTTCAATAACATTTTTCTCTCTTTCCATGTTAACGCCCAAAAGTTGTCAAATATCTTTTTTCTCTCCTGTTTTGAAATGTTATGACATTTAAAAGTCCTTCCTTTACACTTGCAAGTGATTTTTTCATCGTTCTGTTTGGTCTAGGAATGTGTCGTGTTACTTTCCCGTTAGTTAATTTCCTTCCCATGTATTCCCTCCCTTGCTCATGTAAAATCTTCGCCTAGTTACACTGCCAGTCATCCTCTGAAACTTAATGTCGTTTTTTTCTTTTCCTGTTTGAGAGCTGATTGTTAACATCAGATAACCTATCTGGTGGTAATTCCTGTATGTGGTTCATCAATTTCAATCAGGTTTTCCGTGATGCGTACATTTGATGATGCTTTACATAATTCTCAGCCAATGAGTCTCCTACAACTGTCTGTATTGGAAATATGTTGCCGTTATCTTTTAACCGGAACGGATAGGCACCGCAAGTCGCCTATCGCTTCTTTTATTTGTGTTGTCTGGAGTTGAATTCGATATTCCCTCTGCTGCAAAAGATTTGTTCTCTTGCAAGTGATTTTGTGGTGCATTCTGCTACTATGTCGGTGCATAAACCGGAGTAATCTAAAGTGACTTCATTGTAGGTCTGGACCGGAAGTAAGGTACCATTATCATTCTCTATTAATATTTGGAATCACTGCTGTCAACTGCTGTGCTAGCCTCGGAAGTTAAGTTGATTGGTTTCTTTGTTGGTATAGATGTATCGTCTTGAAACGATTTAGCTGCACATTTCGCCAAGTCTAAAATTTTTCTTGTTCTCGAAAACATTTTTCTCCTACAAACAAAACAAAATCCTGTTAGTGGTCAGGTTTATTTGAAAATCTGACCACTTAACTAACAGAATTTATACCATTCTTATTGTAAGAACACGTAATTCCGTTATCATTCATCGATAAAACACGTAACTCCAAAAAAGGTTTGTTACATAACACGTAACTCCTTATACTAAAAATATTTAGACTTGGTCATAAAATCCTTTTGGTATAATATAGTTGATAATTATTTAACCTGAAACGTATTAACACTTTGTTATATCTACATATTTCAACGGTAAATTATTTAACAAAGAAAGAGTAAGTAACAAAACCCGTGACTCCACTAAATAGGAAACTAACCAAATATTTTTGTTTATAAGCAAACCAAGTAACATAATGCCCTTGGAATTTATCGATTTGCTAATATATTTGAGCTTAAACAGGCGAGAATAAGCTAAGGTTAAAACATTAAAGTAACTTACCATAAAAATTTGAGAGTCATTGGATGAACTGGAAACATATATTTATACAGGCAGAATGAATCAGCCAAGCACCACACAACTCACGTGCTACACTATGGAAACAGGCTGCCACAGCCAGGAGTTACCAGGTTTGCATGAACCAATTTCCCACCACAAAAGATATGTGTTTTGTTTTTTCCATTTCTAGAATTAGTTAAATTTTTTAGGATTGTATCATCATTGTAATAACATTAAAATCCAAAATTCGATTTTTTTGGAGTTACGTGGTTCGTTAATTAAGCCGTCGATATATAAACCCTATTTAGAATTAAATAAGAAAACTTAATTTACATTAAAAGGAATATGGTAAAATTTTATTGAAATTAAATTCTCTGATTAAAAGTTCAAATACATATTTCAAAATTCTCCCAGGAAAAGTATTGTTTCGAAGCTATTTTATTGTGGCATTTTAATATTATTTACTATTTTTATTGGTAATTAACGAAGTGGGGGTGGAATAGAAACGTCAAAATAAACGTATTTAAACTGAAATTGTGGTTAATTTCCAAGAAAATAGTAAACAATACAAAATCAGTAATTTTTATCTTTTAATTTCATATTATTACTAAAATATATGAACTATTTTTTTACATTATGTATAAAACAAATAAATAATAACACCAAAATTACAAAATTTATTACTCATCGTCAAATAATTTCCATTGATACGACTTTCTAACCATATCGTATGGCAATCCCGTCTTCCTTATAGTTTTAATATACTGATAGAATATCTCTCCCCGTTTTTTACCAACTTTATAATCAATTTTTCAACAGACTTCTTATGTTAAAAAATTAAATTGTTTTTTAGGGAAAAAGGCAACAGATTTCTGTTGCCTTTCTGATCTCTTTACGATAAACTGTAATGTTAGTAATTGGACATAGTAGATTGTCGCCTTTTGATATGAAGCCTCTTTGAATGGTTTCAGGTTTCTAAGAAATTCATTCAGACCTTGTTGATTAACACGTTGTAGGCTTCTCGGGTGTACGTGAAAATCACTCTGTTATGGATACCAACTACTCAACTTCCATCGTTTATGTGTCTTTGTCATCTTCCACGAATGTAATTTTAATGTTATTGCAATGAGTATTTCTTCAGAATGCGATACTGGCCCACTTGCTGAATCTAGGTCGGGATATGTCCATCTTTGTTTTTTGTTCTGATTGATACCTTTAATATATAAATTTTAAAAATAACAATAATCGTGATGGTTCCCTCCAAATTATTCGCACTCCAAACTTTAGACTTCTCCTTTTCAATTGATCATTGCTGCAAATTTTCAACGCGGGTTTAACATAAAAAAATTGCAGCCAAAGATTTATCCTGGTCTTCCAACTGGATGCCAAAATAGGTAAGAAAACCTGTTTTCATAATCGCGGAAACAGGTAATATATTTTCTTTTAAAATATATTCATCAAATATTACAAAAAAAGTCTAGTTGTAAAGATGAAAATATATATTTTATAAAATATTTTGTCGATCCATTGGTCAGCCGGTCGAGAGCGCTTACTTTACCTAGTATAGTAGAGTGAGTTTATGTTTAACTTATAAAAGTTTAAACTAACTAACTATGTTTATCTCTTATCACCAAGTTTACTTGTTATTAACACTCCTTTATGAATAAAAATCATATTCTTATTTCTAAATAGAACAAATATTCTTTACAATTACAAATAAAAGCAAATTTTTAAATTAGAGCAGCAATATTATTATTGTTTAATCATTCCTTAATTTCAATTTACAGGATATTGTCTCCTATTCCACCACGAATTAGAACGGAAAGTTTCTCAAACACGGCTGACAAAAAGTCCAAGGCTGATATTGTTTCGGATCAGGCACAACCACATCACATTTCCCATCATCACCATCCTTGGTTTAACAAGCACATCGTAAGCGTAGACACATTTACAAAAGATGAACTAAATGATATCTTTAATTTAGCGCAAACTTTAAGGGCGTATGTCGTTAAAGACAAACCTTTGGATCACGTTTTAAGAGGTATGATTTCATTTTATGTGGCATATACACTTACGAATTTAATTTTGCAAAGCTTTTTTTCATTATAATTTAGAAATTATGATTAATTTCAACTAAAGTTTGGTAAGTTGGAATAAAAATGTCATATGATGGTGAACAGGTGCTGATAAAAAAAGGAAAGATACAGTTAAGTTGATTAAATATAAAAAAAAGGCGACTGCGCCAAAAATTTATAATAGCTTTCATCGACCTTAGAAGTTGATGGATGTATCTTAAAATGTCATCATCAAACTGTACTCGTCCACTGCTGGACATAAGTCTCCGTCGGCTCTTTCGGTCTATCTTTGTTTTGTGCTGCTTGTATCTAATTACCGCTAACACGCTTCAGTTCGTCCGTTAATAGTCCATAATTAGTAGTAGTAGTAGTAATAGTCCATAATTAGTAGTCCATAATTTTTCAGATAATCGAGGGAAGGGTCCTACCCAATTCCGTTTTAGCGACGTGATTATTTGAATAGCTTCTATTGTTTGTATTCTATGGCGTATTTCTTCGTTAGCGTCTATGTCTTTCAGAGAGACATCCAACATCTGGCGCTACATCTGTCAGTACAGGTAACACACATTGGTTAAAGATCTTCATTTTTAGGTATACGATTAGGTCCGATTTAAATACATACTTGAATTCACCAAATGCTGCCAGGTTAATCCTCTGCGGCGTGAAAGCTCACATATCTGGTTATCTTTGCTGAACCGATTTTCATGACCTATAAGTAATTATTCGACGTAGTCTGCTCAATATCCATTCCGTCATTAGCAATACTACTATTTAGCACTAGATTAGTCATTATTTGCGTCTTACTTATGTTGATCTTTAGACCACCTAATCTAACTTACAAGATTAACTACAAGAATGATGTCTTAAGCGAATTTCAAATTACTGAGCCATTTATGTTGAGAGACTCATTATCCACGAATATCTCATTATCAACTGTTTGTTGTATTCTGCAGACTTCAGACTATCAGATTTTTTATCATTAATAAATGGTCGTTAGTGCTGTATCTCGATCCAAATTCCGGTTGTTCTCGGGGCTAATAGAAGTCTAACTTAGCCTCCAGTCTATTTTTGATAATAAGTTTATATGTTGGATGGAAATCACTTTGGATTGGATTAAAATTATTTCTGTGTTGACCCGACCATTCTTTGCTGTAGCTTGGTTCTTATACGACGAATAGGTATTATGTTCAATATATTTAACAGAGTTAAGTAAATATCATGAAATCTATACCTAAAAGCTGTCAGAGGTTAGCGTCAAAAAATAAAATCTATGATATTAGCAATTAAACATAATCCACCAAAAAATTTTGATTTTTAAGTTTATGTATAAAATTTGTTATGGTTAACTTTTATATGAATTGAGTTGCATAAAGATATATATATATATATATATATATATATATCGATTTTAAAACGTCTTGTGACGTTGTCCGATGACTAATTTCCATGACACTCTATAATCCCATTGGCCCTCTCTAAAACCTCTTGCGCTCATCGCCTTCGTTTCTCCCTCTCTCCAAGGTTTCTTAGGTCTTCCTCTCTTGCTGCGGTTTGGTGGTACCCATTGCATAATTATTTTTGGGAATCTTGAGTTATCCATCCTCTGGACGTGTCCGTACCATATCAGCTCTTTTTCTTTCTATGTCTGTTGTTAGAGAGCCGTCAACCCCCATTCGCTGTCTTATCTCATCACGTATTCCCCTCTGCGTGACACTCCTACTGATCTTCTAAAAGCGTCCATTTCTACTGCCTCCAGTTTTCTTGCTAACTGCTAATTGGTGCACAATATTTTTCGTTAATTTGTTATTTGCTAATATAAATAAATAACATACAAATTTTTGATAATTGGTTATCTCATACAGAATCTGTCTAATATCCTATATAGAATGTAAAACTAAAGTAATATGGTGATAATAATAAAGTGATGACCTCTAGATAAGCTACAGTTATGGGGGAGTACACTTTTGCAGATTTCATATTTAACTATGGAAATATGTTCTTTCATAAATTATAGAATGAACAAGTGTTTTGATAATGGATTAATTGTAATATAGATGTTTAACCTCTCTCATTTGTAGGTAAAATAATGGCTTCTATGTTCTATGAAGTGAGCACAAGAACGAGTTGTAGTTTCGCAGCAGCCATGCAAAGACTTGGTGGAAGAGTAATATATATGGATGAAACAAGTTCTTCAGTTAAGAAAGGGGAATCACTAGCAGATTCTGTGGTTATTATGGCAGGATACGCTGATGTAGTAGTTTTACGACACCCTATTCCTGGCTCAATACAAGTAATATTAATTTGTTTAAAAGTTTATCTAAATAGTACACGTTCGTTTATTTTTAGAAAGCTTCACATCACTGCAGAAAAGCTTTAATAAATGCCGGTGATGGTATAGGAGAGCATCCAACCCAAGCTCTATTGGATATTTTCACGATAAGAGACGAAATTGGTACAGTTAATGGACTTACCATTACTTTGGTAGGTGATTTGAAAAATGGACGAACCGTTCATTCTTTGGCAAGGCTGTTGACTTTATACAATGTGCAATTAAGGTAAATATCTGTAACCGTTAATTTCTATTACATATTTGTTTGAAAGTTGGAAAAGTAAACTGCAGTTAATGAGGAATTGTTCGAGATACTTCTACTGTTCTTCAGTAGTTGTTCCCGATTTATCCTTATATTTTACTATTCTTAGTCACCTTCTCTAAGATTATATACATGAATTTATCCCCTGCAGAGTAGTAGGTAATCAAATATACCTACTACGTATTATTCATTCCAAAATATTTCAACTGAGGAGATACCAGAGTTATGAGTAAAACAGGACAGAATCCGTAAAATTACAAGCGACAACAGAGATAAAATCAAAATTAAAAGAAGCGAAGGAAAAAATTGTGAATAAAAAATACAGCGAAATAGGAATACAGAAACTTGATGATTAATATGTATTGAAAAGTTTAGGAATTTATAAGCAACAACAAAAAATACACGCAATGGACACAAAGGGCAATTAATAAGCAACAGGGAAAATAAACTAAAGAAATAGGAACAGTAGGCTCAAATATTATATATATATATATATATATATATATATATATATATATATATATATATTTATTAATCTAGAGCCAGTGGGTATCTTTGCAGCTGAACATGACTTAATCGTGCTAAACACATTTTACTACCACCTAGACGCCTGTATGCGTGGAAATCACCTAGAGACAACTAAGAAGACGTTATTATAAGAAACCAAATAGACTATATACTTGTTAACAAAATATATCGAAATAGTTTCAACAGTGTTAAAACCTACATAGGCGCTGATATTCAATCTGCACGCTGAGTGGGCGTGTATAGAACCAAGTTAAAGAAAACACGCGGAAAAACTGTAAACAAACATGACGTGAGAAAACTGAAATGTAGTGAAGTTAAAGAAATAGTCAGCAAAACAATAAATAGAAAATTCAAAGAAATCGATAATACAACGGAAAGCACAGAAGAGAAGATAGAATCCCTTAATAAAACGATAGACGACATTAAAGACGATTTTATGAAGAACGAAGAAGGTAACAAACAGGAAGAACTGAACTTTTAAAAATGGTAAACTTTTTGCATCTTTTTTGTGGTCCCAAAATTAATATTCTAGGCAAAATTGAGCTTGTTCGTAAAATTTTTAAGGGTTTAGTTACATTTTCGTCTCTGACGAATGGACATGGAGACGTAATATGTAAAATGGCATCGTTAATATCGGTTTATGAATTCGAGACTTGGACAGTAGTCCATGTCTGACACAAGACTGTAAGTTTTAATACACTATCTTTGAGATGTGGGTTTATCGCATGTTTAAAATACTTTAAATAGCGAGAATATCGAATGGGGACGTTCTACAGCGAAAAAATAAAGACAATACAAACAAGAAAAGAAGTTACTTGGGACATCTGTTGAACAACGAAAAGTAATTCCCGAATTAACAATAAAAGGTAAAATGGAAGAAAGTTACATCATTGGAAAAAAACTGTAATGGATGGAAAATGTCAGGCAATGGAGCAGGCTAGACTTTTTGAGAACTTATACAAGCAACAGCGGACGGAGAAGAAAATGGAATAATTGCTAGCCATTAAAGATTTTTTTTAATCTAAAATATGCTCTTAGTACATTCCATTGCTCCTTTAAAATTGTTTAGAATGTTTATAACTTCGTAATGTCTCTCTAAGTTATTAAATTATTTGTTCTTAGTTATCTGCTAATTCCATATCTTGCTTTTTGCATTTATCAGTATAAATATTCTGTATTCTTATTCCTTTCTTATTAGGTCAAATAGATATTTAATAGTTCAATTTTTTCAAGGTACAAAACAGAGTGTCAAGGTGTTTTCAAACACATACTGGATTACGCCAAGGAGACAGTCGATCGTGCCTATTGTTTAACATCGCGCTAGAAAGAACCATAGAGAAATCGGGCATAACAACCAGAGGTACGATCATCAATAGAAGTGTACAGATATTGGCCTACGCAGATTACATTGACATAGTAACAAGGACAAAAAGAGACTTGATAAAGGCTTTTGAAACATTAGAAAAGCCACAAAGACAATGAGACTGTAGGTCAACGTATCCAAAACAAAATACATGAAGGTCACGAACAGCACACAAATAGCGGCACCACAAGATCTGGTGACAGAAGCACACACATTCGAATGGTTCTAGGAGTTTATATATCTTGGAACACCACTACATAACAGCAACCTAGTAAGCGTAGAAATTAAGAGAAGAATACCTGGCGAACAAAGCTTACTTAGGACTAAAGCAGTTCTTAACATCACACATAATTAGCAGAAAAACCAAGATACTAATATATAAAACTCTTATTAAACCTATCCTGACATACGCGTTAGAGACATGGACTATGGTAAAAAGCGACGAAGAACTGTTAGGCCGCTTTGAAAGAAGTATACTTGGACACATATAAGGAGGAGTACAAGAAAGCGGGATATGGCGTAGGTGCTACAATTTTGAGTTGTATCAATACTATGAAAAATGTAACATCGTCCGGTCTATTAAAATTAATAGACTAAGGTGGCTAGGACACCTTGAAAGAATGGACACTGGAGACCCCCAAAGACAGATTTATATCAAGAGCCAGTAGGAACCAGGAAGAGAGGCAGGCCAAGATCTAGATTTAAAACTCAAGTCGAAGATAACTTGGAATATAGGGGTCGCAAATTGGACAGCCATGACGAAAGATAGGGGGAATGGAGACTAATTCTTGAACAGGCCTAGACCCACCCAGAGTTGTAGAGCCAAAAATGATGATGATAGTTCAATTTTTGGTATTTAAAAATTTCATATATTTTATTATTTTGTCATAAAGTAGTGTTTAGAATTGATTTTTATTTCTGGTTTCGCTTTTTTCGCCAATGGCTTGAATATATTGCTTGAATAAATTGTCTGTTTTATATGTATTCACCTACTTCTTCCGTACCAAGGTCATTGCCCACTCCTTCTAGGGACTATGAACACTTCGATATTGCACTTCTGATTTGTCTCGAGCGATTTTCACCAATATTCTTCTTCCATACTGTTAATGTGTCGTTTCGCTCTTTTTTCGTTTTGGTATAAGCGCGACAGCTAGAAACAACTGACGCAAATTCGCATTTTTGTGCCTCTTCAACCCGAGACCTTCAACCGCCTCTTCAACCTTCAACGTTTATACCGATGACGACATTGTAATATTCTTATTCCATAGAACGCTATTAAACTAGGATATTGCTTTTTTCACCTCTTCTTTCCCTTTCTTTACTGACTGACGTGATTATAAGATCCATATTTCTCTAAAGAGAAGAGGCAATTCATACTGAGAACATCGAATTGTACATAATTTATAATATTTTTATTTTAGATATGTCAGTCCGCCAAATTTGAAAATGCCTCAACATGTAACGGCTTTTGTAAAATCCAAAGGTATACCCCAAGAAGAATATAGTAAGTTAGAAGATATTCTACCTGAGACAGATGTTTTATATATGACTAGAATACAACGAGAGAGATTTACTAACCAAGAAGAATATGATGAGGTAATACTAAATGAAATATTATTACTTGTTATATATATATATATATATATATATATATATATATATATATATATATATATATATATATAAATGCAAAATTTAAGACAATGTTTATAAATGATAAAAAGGATGTCAATGTGAGTCCATAATACTAGCAAAGAATATAGACGCTTATAGAAGAGTCTTTCAGTGTTATTTTTGAAAGTTGGTAAAAGATGATCGCACGTTATGAAAAAGAATGAGAGGGTGGATCGATCGAGATTTTAGTACCAATAGGGAGCGGTAATGTCAGCACTAGTATTGCTTTTAAAATATGAAAGAGTGGGGCAACAAATGCAACAGATATTTTTATGTATAATGCCGCGTGGCCGTAGAATAGGATTAAATTTTTGCGTTTTATAACATTTTTTAAAGAAAATATAATATTTTAACTTTTAATAAATGAATCCTATTAGAAACAATATTATGATTCGAATTTTTAATTTAAATATGTACAAATCTACAAATAATATACTTAAAACTCTCTTCTTATTAACTATAAATAAAATTAATTCAACCAATAAAGTCATCAATCACCGGAATTAAATATTTCCACATTTTCTAAATTTAATAATTTCTTCTTTGTTTTTAATATAAAATAACATAAAATGTAAAACACAACATTGTTTTTTCTGCAGAATAATGGAAAAATGTCTAAAAAGTTTAATGAAAAGTCCTGAGAAAATTATATTTTTGGTTGAAAAATTTTGAAATTAAAAAAAAATATTTCGTTAATTTTTGGGCAGAAAAACAGTATAATAAAAATTTGTGTGACGGTTTTTCGTTGTGTTGGAACAAACCTATTTTTAATTCAAAGTTATAAAATGTAAAAAATAAATGCTTTGAATATTGTAAATATCATACCTTTTTAAATTTCAAAATTAAAAATTTAACAATTTAATATATTAAAAATAAAGATTTTATTGTGAAAAAAAAAACAAAAAAATGGGAATTTTTTTAATCATAGATGCAAAGTCCGTTCGTACTCCTTTCCCACTTTCCCCTAACTACATCTTTTATGAGATAGTTTAAGCCGACTGCCAGATGTGTTTTAAAGTATAAACCGTAACCAAATCGCCCATTTGAACTGTTCTTCTATAAGCGTCTATATTCTTTGATACTAGTATACGGGGAATGATTCAATACTTACAATCTTAAGTAGTTTTTATTTGTATTAAAAACTAAAAGCTAAAACAACATAAAACAAGCAATAAACAACTGAAACACAATAAATGACACTGAATAATAACAAATTGAATGAAGAGCTATTACATTAATTGAGAGTAGGAGTGACAAACCAAGTATTGTATTGGGACATTACTGCCATTGGGTGTCTCCAATCGGATGTACCTGTATCTGATATGTAAGTAGTATTTGTTTCGTCGCAAATTAAAATTTAAATTACATTCGATTCACAATTTTCCTCTAATAAACCTTATACTAACAGCTGATTGACTATTTAGTGCAGCTTCTATTGGATTGGTGACGCCCAATGGCACTAATGTCCCAATACATTACTTGGTTTGTCCATTTCACTCTCAATAATTAATGTTATAGCTGCTCACTCAATTTGTTATTATTTAGTGTAATTTGTTGTGTTTCTAGTTGTTTATTGCTTGTTTTATGTTGTTTTAGCATTTAGTTTTTAATGTAAATAAAAATAATCTACTGGGGCCTGATAATGGGGCAAATATTGTAAGCTTAAAACCGGTAGCCCAAAATTTACCAACTTTATTAAATAAAAATTACTTAAGATTAAGTATTGCCTGATTTCTCGTATACTAGTACAATGTTTATAACTTTTAAGAGTTTAATATTAAATTAAAAAAACGGCGCGTGGCACTGAGGGAGTGTCTACAGAAGTAACTACTTGTGGGTTAATGAAATATTATGTCTGCTTATTACTGAATTGTTAATATTTTTTATAATAACACATAATGGTCAGAGTAATAATATGTATGCAGTCTCTGGCCGTAACGAGCCCACTCACCAAATAAAAACTGATGAGGAACTGCAAAGATCTCCTCAACAACCTGGCAAAAGACAACTAAATGTGCTTAATATGGGTACTGGGTCATGAAATGATCAATGGGAATGAACGAGCATATTTCTTGGTAAAACAAGCCTCGAGAGAAACCTTTTAGAACCATTGTGTGGCAACATCAACGATACTGCAAGAAACGAGGTTCAGAAGTGGCTGATAAGGAGTCATCAAAAGAAATGGAGTCCCACTCGAGCCCAAATCTAGACTAAGAAAATAATCAAGAATATTGATAAAAATTCTCAAAAAATTTGATGAAACCCAATAAAAGATAGATTAAAACGGTGACCGATATGGTGACTGGACATTGTCGTTTAAGAAAAGACCTCTACAAAATAAGTAAGATGAGTGAACGATGAATGTAGAAAATGCGAAAAGGAAGAAGGGACTGCCATAATACACTGATGCTGGGTGGTATGAATCGGAAATTCACTGGTAATCTAAGGCTTGAACCAGAAAATATCCTTAAACTACCGATGAGAAAACTGTCGACCTTCGTTGAGGTCTCAGAACTTAATGGAGTTTAATGGAAAAACAGGGTAAATGTCTTATGACTTAGACAACGGTACCAGGGTATCTCGCCTGAACAAAGAAGAAAAAGAGATACTAAGATAAAACATTATTAATCACATCAATCTTAAGACGTGGTAGTTTAGAATATAGAAGAACAGGGGAACTTTTGACAACAACTTTAATTCTCGTAGTGAAAATGCGTAACTGCAAAAATCTGTGACCAGGCAGAAATATTAGGATTCCTTATGGCAGTGATGCATATACGTAAAATCTACAAGCTAGTTTTTTTTGTGCTTACGGTGCAGTAAGATAAATTGTTATTTTACCGTTAATTACACGAAAATTTTCAGAAAAAGGGGCAAAACTAACCAAACATACTTATACTTTATGTATGACTACAATGGTTCATACATTTAGCCAGAAATGACTCTTATGACGTTGCGTCTTACATTTTTAATAACCAAAAGACAAATTAATACATTTTCGACAATTATAGTGTTTAATAATGTTTTATTTATTTTATCAGGCTTGTGGACACTTTGTAGTAACTCCAAAATTGATGACTCGTGCCAAAAAGAAGATGATCGTTCTCCATCCTCTTCCCAGAGTATTTGAAATAAGTCCAGAATTTGACACAGATCCAAGAGCGGCTTATTTCCGTCAAGCTGAATGCGGTATGTACGTCAGGATGGCAGTTCTTGCAATGCTTTTGGGAAAATGTTAAATTCTGTTTTAATGTGCTAAATTATACATTCCATTTTTATAAAACCGAAATGATGATAAAGATTAATTTTTTATAAAAAATTTTTTTTTTGTTTAACCATAATAATATCCTTTTAATGTCGCTTAACAGGTTTTGGCTAAACATTGTACTGTTTTAATGTACATATGGTTTAACGTTCGTACAGAGTTACAGATACAGAGTACAGATAATTGGGTAAATGCAAGATTCAAGCGTATGAAGTGCAATTGGCTTGCTCCTGCATTAAACCCAAAAATCAAGTGAAGAGGTGCAGAGTGAAATAATTGTGCCAAAGCAGCAATAAGTGTGTGTAAAGTTACAACGCGTATCGCAGTGTGAATAAATAGCCCTTCGTGAGCCTTGGCCTGGTTCAAAACATTCTTCCATCCTTCCCTATCGAGTGTCTGTCTTCTCCAGCCCCTCACTCCAATCTCCCTCAGATCTTCCTGTACATCGTCCAGATATCTGAGTTTAGGTCGCCCCCTTCTTCTTCTTCCGACCGGCCTTTTTAGCATAGTTATTTTAGTGGGATCACTCTCATCCATCCGCATAATGTGGCCCACCCACCTTAGGCGGTTTATTTTGATGGTCTTCACAATATCTGCATCACCAAAAAGTCTATGGAGTTCAAAGTTATATCGCCTTCTCCACAGACCCTGTTCGTTTACTCCGCCAAATATGGTCCTCAATACTTTTCTTTCAAAGACTCGTAGTAACTCTTCATCTCGGGTCGTCATTGTCCATGTTTCCGATCCGTATGTGAGCACTGGGCGTATTATTGTTTTATAAAGTTTGCACTTTGTTGCTATTGACATACTTCTCGCTCTTAGTTGAGGGCCCCTAAGTGGCTAATTACTAACAATAATAAGCAAAATCAGTTGTTCCGATACGAACAGTTACTGTTGTTTAATTTAGCGATAAGAACAAAAGAACTAAATTCTGACCGGTAGAAAAGCGGTGTTGCCGTAATGCAAAAGTAGTAAAGAATTTAAAGAGAACCGAATTATACAATTATTGTGAAGAAAACCATAGCTTAATAGAAGACCGATCGATAAAAGCAAGACTTACGACGGGTTGACCGGGGTCTACTTTTTACGCGATTGGGTAGTTGAACTGAACAGCTAATATCACGAGCACAATTAGAAAGCAATGAATAGTGAAGACGAGTACACCACGGGTGAGGGCAAAAGAAGGAAAGGCTCACAAACATTTGGTTTTGGAAAGTGCGCAAAAACTAAAAGATCTCCAGACATGAAAGAGAAAAAAGAAGATAACTCAGGAAAAATTATGGATATGATCAAAGGCTTGCAACGATTTATAGAAGCAGTAACGGAGGAAATAAAACAAAAACAAAGAAAATGTCTAACAGAAATTCAAGATTTGAAAAAGGAAAATACGCAAATCAGGAAAGAAAATTAAGAGTTCAAGAAAGATCTTATACAAGCAATGGACAGAATTGAAAGACTTAAGAACGAGAAAAAAACAAATAGCGTAGAAATAGTGAAGAGCAATATGCAAAGATTTATAAGTACGCACCTGAACAATGAGATTGAAATAGAAAGAGCAATTAAAATAGGAGAAAAGACCTGTTTATTAGAACTAAAAGATTGTAACCAAAAATACACACTTATAAACAATAAAGCCAAACTAAGAAATATTAGAGAAAAAAAGTATATATAAATGATGATATGAGCGAACAGCAGAGAGTTATTCAAAAAGAAATTAGAGCTAAAGCTAAGGAAGAAAAGAGTAAAGGGAATACAGTCCAAATGGGGTTTCAAAAACTTATTATAAATGGTGAAGTATGGACGTGGAACAGGTAGATGAAGGCTCTCAACAAATCCAGGAGGAAATAGCAGACCATCGACCAAATAGAACTGATCAACATGGAATACCAAACAAGGCGAGAATAAGGTTTAACGATATAATTGAATTGGACAAAAAAGAAAACTGTAACAAAGAAAATTTAATACAAGATCAAGGTGCAAATACACTACAAACGTATATAAAAATGGCTACGTGGAACGTCAGAAGCCTCAATAGAGAAGAAAGAGAATTAATAGATGAATTTGACAAAGCACAATTAGATTTTTTGGCGATCACGGAAACTAAAACGAAAGGTCAAGGAATGGATGAATTGGATAAAGAACATGTATTTTTGTACAGCGGAGTCAGTACCGATAGTAGAGCGGCAGAAGGTGTAGGATGCCTAATGAGAGCAAGCTATATGTTAAAAATTGGAAATTTATATCACAAAGAAATTTAAAAATAGAGATAATTCAGAAATTATAATTATATTAGTCACATATGGCCCTAATGATGACGAACCATTGAAAGTTAAAGAAGAATATTGGGAAGAGCTCAATGATGCTATAGAAAATGTGAAAGGTAGAATAGTCATCTAGGTGATATGAATAGCAGAGTTGGTAAAAGAGACGATGATAACATAGATATTTTGGGTATGCAGGGGGAAGATCCAAGAAACGATAATGGAAGAAGGATGATAGACTTTTGCATGGAGAATAATTTGATTATCACCAACACATTTTTTGAACACAAAGATATACACAAGTTCACGAGAGAAGTCAGGAGCAGAAATGAAAAATCAATTCTAGATTATGTTCTCATTAATAGAGAATTTAGGAAAGAGGTCACTGATGTCAGAGTTAAAAGAGGCCCGGAAATCTATAGTGACCATTATCGCACTATCTGGTAATGGCAAAGATAAGATTACCCCAAAAAAACCACTAAACAAAGAACGAAAAATAATAAAGTGAACGAGAATATCCAAAACTATAAACTAAATGACCAAAAAGTCGCGGCCATGTTCAAAAGTAAAATAGAAGAAAAACTAGCCAAATTAACGAATGCACATAGTACTAACAACTTACAGGAAATTTAGAAACAATTTAAAGAAAAAATCGTGACGAGAGCAAAAGAAACGTGTGGAATAAACCATGTAAACAGAAATAAAAAGCAAACACGATGGTGGGACGATGAATTAAAAGCCCAAATAAAATATAAAAAACAGAAATGGAAAATATACTTAAACAAGAAAACAGAAAATAGTTACGAAGAATATAAACGACAAAGAAAGGTGGTGAAAGAAATGGTGCTGAAGAAGAAGAAGCTGGAAGCTTGGAATGAAGATGGAGGCAGATAGCCGGGGTAACCAAAAATTGTTTTACAAGGCACTAAAGACGCTAAGAAAAGGTAAAGAAACAACGATGAAACAGGTGAAACGTAAAGACGGCACACTGATTATCAGACCAAATGAGATTATGGAAAGATGGAGACAATACTTCAGCCAACTTCTAACACCAAGATAGCCGAAAGAGGAAACTGTAATGATAGAAGTAGAAGGAGAACATGGACAAGAAAATTATATTCAAATAGAAGAAGTTAAAGAAGCAATTAACAATACAAAGAGAGGTAAATCGGCTGGTCATGACAAAATCACTGCAGAAATGTTAAAGACAATGGGACCGAAAGGAGTTGAATTTTTAACCAAAATGATGAACATGGAAGGGAACCGATGTACAGTCCCGAAGATTAGAGAATTGACATAATACTACCAATCTTTAAGAAAGGAAACCCAAGTTCTTGTGAAAATTATAGAGGAATTAATCTACTTAGTATAGTCTCCAAAATATATGAAAGCATCCTAGAAAAGAAATTAAGACACATCGTTGAACCATATCTGGATGAAATACAAAGTGGGTTTAGGAAGGGACGCAGTATGCAAGACCATATATTTACGTTGAAACAAATAATTGAGAAAGCTAGAATAAAGAACACAGAAATATATATGGCTTTTCTAGATATTGAGAAAGCATTTGACAGAGTGTCCCAGGAAGCAGTTTGGAAAAGTCTGCAAAATAGAAATATTGACCATCAACTAACAAGAGTTATGTACGTAAGGATAACTTGGAATCAGAGATGTTTGCAATAAACGAGAGTCTAAGACAAGGAGGTGTTATGAGCCCCACACTATTCATATTGATTATTGACGACATAATTAAGGAAACAAAAGCAAGTATACACAAAGTACATATCGGATATAGTAAACTACGACCGGTTGGTATAGCTGAGTGTGCATTAGCAAATGATCTCATGTTATGCACTTCCAACGAAAGGGACCTTCAGAAAAATATAGATAGCTGAAATATTGAGCTGGCAATTAGAAACATGAAGATTAATGTTAAGAAAACCAAGGTGACGCTAATAGCGAAAACTAACCGACATATTAACATAGAAATTAACCAACAACTCATAGAACAAGTAGATGCATTCAAATACCTAGGGGTTACAATAGATAGAGAAGGTACCATGCAGAATGAAATAACAGAAAGAATAAGTAGTGCTTCAAAAGTGTACCATAATCTTAGTAGAGTATTCATAGGTAAACCGGAAATCAGCAGAAGAACCAAAATGACAGTTATAAGACAGTATTCCGACCAATTTTGATATATGGAAGCGAGAGTTGGGTTTTAACAAAGCAGTTAAAAGGCAAGATACAAGCCATTGATATGAAATATCTAAGACGAGTCAAAGGAATAACACTACTAGACAAAATAATAAATGAAGATATTAGAGAAGAACTGGGCACAGAATCTGTACTACATGCTATTGAAATACAACAAATAAAATGGTTTTGTAATTTGTGCCGAATGAGCGACAACCGACCCGTTAAGCAAGTCTGGAAGGGTAAAGTGAAAATGTTTAAAACCAGAGGCAGATCACGGAAAACCTGGGATGACGAAGTAGGGCAGATTTTGAAAAATAGGGAAATGGAATGGTTAGAAGCTGAAAATAAGGCAAAAAATAAGAAAGAATGGACAAAATTCGTGCACAGAATAGAATAAAAAAAATTTTGTATTTTCATTGGATTTGAGATGTATTGTATATCTGTAACCTGTATTTGTATTTATCTCACACATTAGGGTAGAGAGGTGTTCGATTATATATATATATATATATATATATATATATATATATATATATATATATATATATATATATATATATATATATATATATATATATACATCCTACTATCATT